GACCCTATTTGGACTTTGATACGAGCAGCGTCTTATTGGCATTACTTCCACAAGCATCCAAGCCAGCCTCCTCTTAACTCAATTTGGCCTTTCCGATTAAGGATGTCATTGACTTTCAACCTGAAAACTTGATGTACCTGATCATATGAAATGCTACAAGTCTTCTAGGTCAAGTTTAGATAATGGACTATATATATCTAGATTCGGATGTGAACTAGGCCATGGGTGTTTTGGTGCAGGAGATCATAGCGCTCCGACTTGAAGATTCGATGCCCTTCAACTCCAAAAGTATTGGTCAAATGAAGAAGCTACGATATTTGGATTCCGAGAAGGAGTTGATGTTGGATGAAGTAGGCGGCGAGCTTTCAAAAACCGTCGTACTTCTTCGACTGCGTGGAAAGGTGAATAGTCTTCATGACCTGGTCGATCGAGGTCGTTTCTGTTTGGTTGTTCTGAACTTGAAGGCACCGCTCAGATGTTTGCCAACATCCGTCAACGAGTTGCAAAATCTTGAATTTCTGAAATTCGAAGCCTGTCTCTTCGGAAGTCTTCCCGAAACGTTCGGTCAACTTCCCAGGCTTCGTCATCTGACATTCAGCAGTTGCAAGAAACTTCGTTCACTCCCCAAATCTTTCGGACAGCTCTCAAAGCTGCAGTCTTTGAAACTTTATGACTGTAAGCTTAGAGCATTGCCAGATTCCTTCGTCCAGCTCCCCCGTCTGAAGACTTTGATCATGGTGTCATTGCACAACCTTGAAAGGTTGCCTGAGGATTTCGGAAATCTGTACTCGCTAAAATCGCTGTTAATAATAGATGTGCATAATATCTCAAAACTGCCTGAGAGCTTCTGCAGTCTCCCCCGCCTGGATACTTTGATCATGTATTCACTACACAACCTTCAAAGGTTGCCTGAGGGTTTCGGAAACCTGTCCCAGCTAGAAACGCTGTCAATAGTACATGCGCATAAAATCTCAAAACTGCCTGAGAGCTTCTGCAGTCTCCCCCAACTGAAGACTTTGATCATGTATTCATTGCACAACCTTCAAAGGTTGCCTGAGGATTTCGAAAATCTGTCCCAGCTAACACTGCTGTTAATAATAGATGTGCCTAATATGGCATTCCCGCCTAACAACTTCTGTCGTCCCGACCCATTGCGAAATCTGAAGATTCGTGATGTGCTTGGTTTCGAAGATTTGCCTGGTAATTTTATGCAGTTTTCGGATTTGGAAGTCTCAGAAGATCTTCTTGTGAACATCTTGAAGAACGTGAACTTCTTTTCCCATCTATGGACTTTGAGTTAAGAGATTGGAAATATATATCTTTTTCAATCTATAAACTCAAAGTAAAAAATGTTACATAAAATTAGGAAAGAACTTTATTAATTAGAAAATTTCTCTAGAAATAACAAACATCTTTGTAGAAGTATTTTCAACATTATTTTCAACATGGTGGTTGCATATGTTACGTTCAAAATGTGATGATTGGAACAAAAGTGGAAGTTATTTAGTTATAATTTTTTCATAGAAATGATATTGAAAGATTATGTGATTCATCTTCATTGTGATAATCAAAATGTTTTATTTTTTGTTACAAATTAGGTGATGAAATACATTTTCATCCGATATCAATTTATCACACAAGCAGTGTGTAAATAAAAAAATTGAATTAATCAAATTTATGATAAATTGAATTCAACTAATGTGTGAACCAAAGTTCAATAATATATTTCAAACAATAATATAATACTCTACAAGTTTTGATTGGAACACAGGTAGAGTTTGTTAGTAATATTTTCAGTTAACTTTTTATTTTATTACTTTACTTTATTATAGATGCGATTTAGTTCTAAATAACTCTAGTTATAAAAAGTAATTTGATGGGATCCATCAAGTTTTGTTTTGTTTTGGTATTCCACGTACGGTGTACCGTCGATGAGCTCTAGTAAATGTTCTAATATGAATATATTCTTGTACCTGTTTTTGTATTTAAGACTAAATTCAAGCGCGAGGGAGCATCAAATTGAGAATTTCGACAGGGTATCGGAATACAAAGTGGGCTGAAACCCTTGAGCAAGTGCTGGAGATTCAAAGCAGGTGCAGAGCTCTGGGCGACAGACCCTGAGCTTGTCTGCCATTTCATTTTCACGACCCCAATGCCAATCTCTCCCACTTCCCCACGACCGAACCAAACTATACCAACCCAATCGAGCCTACCCCTTCCCCAGTTAGATGCGTCAATCTTTGCACCTGCTTCAAGAACGTGATTGCGTGATTCTCTTTTCGAACTCATGCCACCCCTCTCTGCGTCGAGCTTAGAAGGACCCAAGCAGCGCTGGACGTAAATTCATCAATGCCAGAGTCGCACCATAGAAATAGATGCAATGAACTTATCTCCGAATGCATGCGCCCGATTTCCACGCTGATAGTAAGAGAAATCAACAAACCCTTGAGGACCCCGGAACAAATACAAGCAGCACCGTCTGTTCATACTAGAACAGTCTGACATGTGCCGTCGTTGGGATCCTATGGGATAAAACGAAATTTGATGGGTTCCATCAACCAAATATGTTCTTGATGGTGTTCCATCAAGCAAATATCTCTATCCAGAGATGCAGACACTTTCGTATCTATGTACATCGCCACCGCGCAGAACAGTGCAAGAGCCAGCACACAGAGATGCAGACACTTTCGTATCTATGTACATCGCCACCGCGCAGAACAGTGCAAGTTCCAGCACACACGCCTGATAGATGTCCCTGCTCCAAAACTCTGCTGATGAATAGGCGATTGTATCTAGAGGTGCAAGCACTCTCGTAGCTACGAGAAGAAGTGTCTCGGTGGGATGTAGGGAGGAGGTTCACACTATCCTATATTCATTTGTACCTGCCTTTCCCTCTTGATTCCAAAGTGGATCCGAGAGATGAGATACAATGAAGCTAAGTAAGACTTTCCTACTCTCCTCTGAGTTATTGAGAAGAGAGGAGGTGAGGTAAGGAGGCACGAGATTTGGTAAGACCTACATTCAGACGCCCGCTGTGCTATTCCTCATGCTTTCACACGCTCGATACTTTTCCCTTCCGGTCCCTATCGTACAGTGGTGCCTTCGTTACAGAAGGAGGAGAACCATGAAAGGTGAAAGGAGGGGCTTCTTCGGGTCTAGATGGTAGTTGCAGTTAAGTTAAATAACAATGTGAGTGCAGTTAAACAAAAAACAACTAGTTAAGAGGTTTTAGTAGCCGTAAACTGAGTGGCCCGATTAGATTGGTACCTTTTATCACTCTCTTATTATGCCACGTAGATAAAACATACAAACTTTGGAAATACAAACTTAGTGACAGCCAAATAAGGAATATATGGAAGTCCATTGTCCGTATTAAGAGAGGCCTGCTGATAAGTTATGAGGTTCACTCGTCTATGTGACGTAATCACTGAGTCTTAACCGTGTGGATTAGTGCAGTTATATTTTGACTTTTGATTCATTCTCAGTAGGTTTCAAATTGACTTTTCCGATTTTCAATTATTATGTTTAAGAGTTATAGAATTATGTAGGACTTGACTGCATTGTTTTGTCTTGGTTCAAGTTAATTCAAAGACTTTACAGTCTTATGCTACAGGATACAGGCAATGTGTTTATCTCACACAAGGTTTATTGCTGCTCATAGTCAAAACATGTAATAGATCCTTTTATCCTAGGAAGTCTCACATTGATACACAATGGCTGAATTGAGTAACTAAACCTAAAATCGACCGACCTTCTAGATTGAGGGTATAGATTCACATCTGAGTTTAAGCTCTAACAAACAAGAGAGGTCTAATTTCATGATCATAAATCAAATTCTTAAACGGTTCTCCTTGATTCCGTTCTTCTTAGTCCAACAACACCACCTCTTGAAAAAAACAAGCTAATTGCAATGTACTCTTGCATGGCGTTTTAATAATGATTGCTTGTATTTATGTGTTTGATGGAGACTTGTGTCTTCTCCTTGGAGCATATTTGAATGTAGACTTGGTAGCAATATTGAACAGCTAGACTAGCAAACCTCTCGTTATTTCGTTAGTGATCGTATATTAATAAAGTACCAATGTTTGTTAAATTTGTGTCATGGCAAGATTGTTGAGGTTAATCCAGTTAAGGAGTTACCTCGGGTACTAACTATCTATAGCCAAAACGGTCGTTAGACTCGGGATAAATACTTCGGAGTTTGCCATGTACATTACGTCTTTTTGACAAGATTTGGAATAAAGTGATGAGAGGTCCGGGTGGACGTAGCGCTCTTTTCAAGGGTTAACCACGTTATTTTTGTGTCGCTATATCTTTCTTGGTATTAAAGCCGAGTCTTCGAGTTTAGAGATTTTGAAAAGTTGTTTTCATTTAGTCCATTCAGTTTGATGTTTGTCACTTACCATTTGTGACAGCTTTCTGAGGGTGAACGATTTTTTCTATCGTTCATAGATTTTCTATCAATAACGAGTGTATTTGAAGGAGATAGTGTTTGTGTGTCTGATAGTGCTGTCAGATTTCTTACGTTTCATTTTGTTTTCGTCAGTGAAGGTTTTGTGACAAAAGTCTGTGACACAAAGTTTCTAATGACAATTATCCGTAGAAGAGTTGACAGTGCTAACTTCAAGAACATCAGAAATTTCTTGAAGTGTCCGTTTGAGGTGTAAGCCAGGGTTTGACGAATTCGACGGGTTTTTATTTTTTCAAAAACTGGAGACGAGTTTTTCCTGGCAACTTTTGAAGATCTAAAGTTCCTTGTGACAGTAGATTTTTGATTCGAGGATCAAAAGTTCTCGGAAAGAGTTATTGCTGGTATCAGAGCAATAACTCTTTCTTTGCTTGTCAAAGGAGAAATTGGGCTTGGAAGGGCGAGTCGGCAGGTGTTGTTTATCAAGCTTATCATCATCCTTGTCTTACAGTAGCTGCAGTTGAGTGGGTTGTTGGTCAGAAATGAGTACGAGATCAGATTTATATCATCAGCTTTGATCAGTATTGGATCCATGGACTTTAATTCCGCACGTCAAGGCAGGGTTCCTCCTACATCCGACGTTAGCAATAGATTTAAGTCTCACTTGCATGTGGGCCGGTTCTGGAAAACTCAATGGCCTGCTGTTGGCCAATGTCATCGTGCCTTTTTAGCAATCTCTTCCTCGCAGTCTTCTGCTTTCGTTGAAGAGAAGCTCAAGGGACCTATTGATAAAATACTCATAGCTAATAGAGGTGTGATTGCCTGCAGAGTGATCAAAACTGCAAGGCGGTTGGGTATAAAAACAGTCGCTGTGTACAGTGATGCTGATAGGTTCTCCGTGCATGTCAAAAGTCCGGATGAAGCAGTACACATCGGACTGGCTCCTGCAAGTCTCAGCTACCTCTTTGCTGAAAAAATATTGGCTGCTGTCCGTTCTACAAACGTAAAAGCAATCCATCCAGGCTACGGGTTTCTGTCCGAAAATGTTCACTTTGCTGAATCCTGCAAGAAAGAAGGGATCAGGTTTATAGGTCCACCATCCACAGCTATACATGCAATGGGGGATAAAAGTGTATCGAAGAAGCTCGATGCAAGCTAAAGGAAGAATGTTTTAGATCGTCGAGGTCCGAAGTGGATTGCATCCAGCGCGCGGGGCAGTGGCAGGGCGCTGTGTCGACGTCGGAGTGGATCAAATCTGAATCTGGACTCGCTGCGAATTGGGGATGTTCCGGTGACGATCGTTTGGTAATTCAGACTTGCTTGTGCATGGATCCAGCACCCTTGTAAGGACAACAGCGGCAAGTCAGCTTGAAGATGGTTCTGGTGAGCTGGTTGTCATAAAGACGAACTTCTTGCAGCCGAGGGAGCTTAGCAATTTTTGGTGGAATGCTGTCGACCAGCTTGTTGCTGTAGATGTCGAGCATTCGTAGTAAGTGCAGGTTCTGAATTTCTGATGTGAGAATCTATGAGCTCCTGGCAAGATCTGCAGACATAATTTGGATAACGCGAACAAATTACGAAGAATTCCGTGGCGATGGAATTCTTTGCAGGCATGCAAGTGGCGGAACACGAGCGCATGAAGGGCAGGGCCACCCTCTCTTTTCCCCGATTGAGCGGCATGGCGACACGGGCCGAACCGTGTACCCCGAGCGGCAGGACAGGAGATCGAGTAGCGTAACAAGAGTAGCCGAAGCCTCCGCTCCGACGTCACTTCACCCGTGGTATCGCGTTTCGCCTCCAATACGACTCTGGCCTGCGATTTCGTCCAGCATTTCTTGTGACGCACTTTTGGATTGGAGATGTGGGATCAGGTGAGCTCGGAGTTGGCGATTTGTCGAATGAATTCTGCATTCAAGTTGATAAGTTACGATTTACACGACAGTTGCGTTTGTATTGGGCCGGGGTTTTTACTGTAGTCGCGGCTTTTGAGAGAACTGGCGGGGTTTCAAATTTTGCTCTCCGTTTCTCTCCCCGTCTCTTCCCAGCACTGAACCATGCACGCTGCTTTTCTCGTCCGTCTGGTCTACCTTTTACCTGCAGTGGTTTTCGGGATCGTCAACCCGGAGAAGTTTCAGGAAAGCGCAATAGTCCCGACCCTGTCATAAGACGTGTATGTTTTCCATTATGCACTTTCTCAAATCCATGCTCATGTCTACAATCAAATCAGTGTCGATGAATTGCTGTAGTAAGTGGTGATGGGTCATTTCTTGCAATTTACTGAAGTTGGCAGTGGCGAAGAAGAAGTTTCCTCGAAGTGTCATGGTGGAAACAGAAAACCTCTCTCGACTCTTCATCACACTTTTGTGTTTTGATTTTCTGGGATTCCATCACAGACTGGATGATTTTGTTAAATTTGCGAAGCTGAAAAAAAGAGAACCTTAATTAAGAAAGAGCACGCTGAGTTCGTGGTACTCAGATTACAGACTATTCACAAGTTTAAACCCCACCACATCATCAATCTTACGACCAGAAACAAGTCTGATGCCGTTTTTGCAATTCTGCACTTCCTTGCCGAGGCTCAGCGAACTAAATGACTCAAAATGTACTAAGGAAGACTTTCCTGTACCTGATCTCAGCTCGGGCATATGTAAGAACTTATGGAACTCTACTACCGCAGCCCCATACATCTAAAAGAGGGTATCATGGGCTAATCTTTGCTTTTCTTGAGTAAAAATACAAACTGCCAAGAAGGAGGACATGTTCGTGTGAGCAACGTTATTGATATCAGTACTCTGAAAGAACGCTGTCTACCGTTTGTAAGTTTTTGAAGTCCTGCTCTCGGACTGGCAGAGAGATAAATGATCCTCAGGCTCCGTAGGGAAGTTGTAGTACCGAGCTGAAGCCTCGAGTAAAATCATCTCACTCTGAGAATTTCCTTCCTATACTTCGGAAACAAGTTGGCACAAACCACTGGTCAGACTCGTCAATTGAAATTCTTCTATGGTTGATGGAACCATGTCCACCATGTTGAAAGCGTGGTTCAGCAGAGTAGTTCCGACTGTCCTGGAAGCGGTATTGTCTCCAAAATCTTCAGTTCTACTTTTCAATGACTGTTATACAATGAAGAACATCGAATGAGGACATGATCATTGCGACAAAAAGAAACTCTTCAAGTGGGATTTGTTGGACCCCAATCATGCATTAACTTGGTAAATTGATGCTGCTGTTTCAGCAGGTTAAAATCAAGACGAGTGAAATAAAGAATAAACATGTCACATCGTAAACGCAAATCAGTCTCACACTTACTGGCGTCAAAAACGTAGTAGGTCTCGATTCTCTGACTTCAACAATGCTCCACTTGTGGTCACACGGAAAGAATCAAAATATTCATGAAGTCGAGCTAATTCTGCGCAAAGCACCTTCACATTGTCCAATAGAGGGCTAGCAGATGCTAGCTCTCTATGGTGTGTTCCATTCGGACTCGAGAAAAATGAAGATCCGCGATGGGGCATTCCATAGAAGAAAACTCCTTTGACGCAGTTGAGAATTCCAGCCTTTTTACCCTTCAAGCTTTGGCTGATATGCACCATGTAGCACAATTGTTTGATCACCGAACCTCCGTAAGTGTGACCGACAAGTATAACTGGATGCTGCCCCACTTCTGCAGATATAAGATTTTTTATCAAACTTTCGGCTGTGTTGTGGAGGTCTAATGTTCCATGCTCTGCTGATGTCTTGATATAAGCATCGTAATTGACAGAGAGAATCCGAGTTCTCGGAAACTCTTCCGGGAGCCAGGTCATCGGCCATACTTCCTTCTGGGAACCGCGTGACCTCCATGTTGATTCGTGAGCATCAGAGGTGTGTGACAATTGGAGGCCATGAAAGAATACAATGTCCAGCAGTGATTGACCTCCTGGCTTGTAAAGTTCGTATAGAGTCGCTTAACCCATTGACCTGATGCAGATCAGCAACCAAACTTCGTCAGCCGATCTTACGTAATGCAGCTTTGAGATTCTTGGATTTCAAAATTCAATTGGATATATCGCAAACACGTTCCACAACTGCTATACTGTATTTTGCACAGATAATTGTGATATCCTTACCCTCGGCGCGGCAGTGGCCGAATCCGCAGGGGGCACAGACATTGTATTTAACTTGCGGAATCGACTCCCGTTCTAGAAGGACGATGGAGAGTATGTGATATATTTACTTCTCCTCCTCGTCAGTGGACAAGTGCTAACATAAGTGCACGAAAGTAACGATGCTCAGAATGAGCTTAGTGTTGTCGATCATTCGAAATCCTCAATCTCTCCAGACCATCTCATACGTGCAATCAGAAAATACCTCCTCTGCTAGCTGATTTCGAGGTTCATCTTTGTGTGGTTGGGTTGCTGAGTTTCCTTGGGAAGCCTCTTGGGCCAATGTTACGCAGTGTGTAGGTCACATAGACGAGTGAACCTCTTGAGCAGGCCTCTCTAAATAGGCAACTTTCGCATGTTCAGTATTATGATCAGAATAAACTACGGAATCTATTGAGTTTAGTACAAATTTTTTATGTTTTCTTCCATGATGTCCGATCTCACGACAATGTTCTGGACAACAACAAATTAGACACTCCGAGGCTGAGGTGATAGTGGCAAGGAGCAATACGGCCATAAAACAAACTTCACGAGCTAAGGGCGAAATTGAAACAACTTTGACGGTGGCAAACAGGAGGAACGTCCACAACTTGTACTCGACACGATGGCCGTTACGCGAGCTCTGATACTCTTGGTGCAACCTTCGTTAAGCTTTCCCAAACAATGCAGAAATACGTGAACTGCAGATTGAACAAATGAAGATCTAAGGAAAGAAGATCGGTGAAGCCGTTTTTCTCCAGGGCCATGCAGCTTGCACCAAAAGTTCACTGCCTGGAAAGAGGTCATGCCCACGATCCACATCAAACTGGATAATGCAATGGAGCCATGAGCTTGGTAGAGATGATGATAATTATGAAAAAAATTGTAGCTCCAAAATTACACTTGACGCTGTCTTTATTGTATAGTATCATGCCAATATGTCCAATAATAACATCATGTCACTATTGCCAATAAAGCTGTGATGTTATTATTGGGAATATTCACAAGTTACAAACTAATGGTTCTGGAATTTCATGTCACTAGTAGAAGGAACTCACTCGTAGGAGGTGATAGTATTGGGAGGTTAAAATTTTTATTCAGAATCATCAACCAATTTGATTATTTTCGTGTGAATCCAGTTTGTTTTTTAATCATTTTATAAGTCTATATGTGGATACTCAATTTTGAATATTATTATATGCATATTATAGAATGAATGTGCTTACTTGTGAATGAAAAATAGCCAGCCAGCCATCAGAAAGCATCGTTTTGTCCACTATATGACGCACTTCACTATTCCATCAATGATGAAGACGTTCTATGATTCTTCACAACGCACAAAGTGATGATGCAGTTGATGGATAGCAGTTACCGAGTGAACCTTCTCGGTAACTGAAGGTTCACTCGGTAACTTTCTCAGGACTCATGAGTCACAAGGTCGACAACCACCACTGTGCCAGCTCCTGGACTGCGTATCGATAACAAACATCATCATGACGACTTCACAACTTTTCCTGGATTTCATTTGCTTTGTCATTTCTGACTGATTTGGTACGAGGTTGACATGAAAGATTCACTTGTCATTAACCTCCAAGAACGGATACTCGTGATCCGGCGGTTGATGAGAGTACAGGTTTCACGTAAAACTTCGTGAAGTAGTGTGAGGACGTATCACGAATTGGACTGTGTGGTTGACTACTTTTCCACCAAGTTTGAAAGGTGACCATACATCATCACATTGAATAAGAATAGCCCAAGAATATTATCTCTATTCAAGTTGCATTAGATTAAATAAGTTTTACTATTTCATCAACCCATAGAGGAATAAAATCTCACAAGAAATTCAACGTAGTAGTATGATGATGAAACATATGTATCAATTATGAAGGTATCAAATTCCAGCACAGCCTCATTGATGTATATAAATAATTGATGCAAATCAAACAAATTAATGGATGAGCTGGCCATATTTTAAGAGTTTACTACCTAGTCAGAATAAAGGCGGAAGTGTGTTCCAGTAGTTCGAAATATGGCATGAATCTTTGACTGTGAAGGAAATTGAATTTTCTGTCCGCCAAGATGAACTATAGATTGAAGGTCTTATGAGATGCCAAAAAAGGAATTCTTATTGTAACTCAAGATTCAAGTGTGTCTCAAATTATATAGAAACTTGTGTAAAAGATATAATCTTGTACTCATATCTCTTGCATACATCTAAATGAAAGATCAATTCATCCACAGAAATATTTGGGGATCATTTCAATACAAAGGAAAAAGGCAGACTCTTGTATTATTGTAAGTAAGTAGAGTAATCTAATCTAAACTGAATGTTCATATGATTAGACTGCATGATGCATATTTGTAAAACTAACCTTGATAATCTTTTCAAGCTTAGTTTAATATATGAATATATTATACAATGATGCAACTCACGTACAATATAAAATCTCTTCATATAGTATTGAATCAACTTATCTCATCATGTACTATAAATTAAAGTTAGTATTTTCTACTTATATTCTGATGTTATACCAAAATAAAATTAATATATAATTAAATATATATAATTATTTTAACTAATGATAATTAAAAGATGATCATCCCCCGTATATCATGCAATGATATTTTAAGTTCATCACATCAAAAATTATATTTCTATATTTGAAATTTTGAATCAAATGAAAATTTACATTCATAAAACTTTTATATGTATATGTCACTTTATATAACCAAATGCATGCTTTGAATAAAATCAATAATATATTGATATAAATGAGTGAAGAATTTAAAATCCCAAAAAATTCCATGTGATTAACTTATTTTTTCACATATTCATGTTTATCATTTACATTTCACATGTAGAACAATCAACTAAAATATAAACTTCAAACACTTTATTCTTTGCTTTTCTATGATGTACGATATGACATACAAAAATTGAAAGGTATATTGTATATAAAAATCAATTTTTTAGTAGTTATTGAACTTGATTCATATGATATTTGACAAAAGGATTTATTTGATCATTTTATAGATATTTTAAAATTTTCAATTGGTATATTGCTACTATAAATTTCAATTTGGCAATAATTCTGTCATGTTCACATCTCTTGTCTATATTTATAGTTAGAGGTCAATCTTGTCGGAGAGTATATAGTTGAAGAAACTCTAAAAGTTTTCATTTCTTTGAGTCTTTGTGCGCTGGGGTAGCATGCAGTAGTTGGCTATGGTGTTGATTGTATGTTCACTAATGAATAAAAATGAATAGTTATACTTGCACAAAGTCTATATACATAATACACATGAAAAACATAATTGAAGTGATTTGACAAATATGTGTTAGGAATTAACTCAGTTCTTGATTTAACTCTGGTAATCCTAAGCCCCATTATTCAATCCCATTGATTTGTCATTTTACAGAAAAGATCAACAAAACTCTCAATGACAATATTAAGATGTGTCTATGAGTAGGTTGAAGTGATAACCACATAATTTTCAATGTCCGCTGTGAATGTGAATCCTTGTGTCATGATATATTTGTGTGTCAGTGTCTCATCGCTGAGTTAGGATTGTGCGTAACAGTACAAAGCTTGACGTAAGTTTAATTTATAAATCAATATGATACCAAACAGGCTAAATGATCATTGAGACATATTTTATTTACTATGAAGTTAGTTAATTATGAGATATATATGTGCGATATATATTTATAAACCATATTGTGAAATAATACACTTTTTTCATCTTCACAAACAAGCATATTTGAAATCATCACTTCTCAAAGATTGATTTTCAGTTCATGATCATATTATTTAACGCAAGTTTTCTTATGAATATAAATTGCATGATAAACACGTATTCGAATTGGTACACAGATGATTAAATTTTTAGATTAAATTTAGATGATTTTTTTAAACATCAATGTATTGAATAATTATAAGCAAAGCATAATACATTCATCTTACTCTTTACAATGTGAATTTTGATTTGAAAAAATTCTTCTCATAATAACAATTTTACATGTCTGTATGTAAATGATTTGAAATAAACATGAATATTGATCATAAATGATAATGATGGTAGTGAAAAATAAAAAATATTGCACTTCTATCAATCAAGATGAATAAAAGAAGAAGTGAAAGCAGAAAATTTAAATCAAATATGTAATATTACAGTGAAAGTATCATATGACTTAAAAATAACGAGAAAATGAGAACGGTCAGCTTGTTTACAATTGTCAAAAGAGCATCCAAATAAACATCATGTATTATGATTGTTGACTTAAATATAATTAGCGTTGTATATAGAATTGCAATTAGAAAATATCTCTAAATTAAGCGAATCTAGAAAAGAATAAATGTATCCATCATGTCGTACTAGAAATTTGGTTTTGGCGCTATTTCACAGTCATTTAGCATACTTAGCTATATATAATTTCAACATTAAAATATCCCAAAAAATAAATCTGCAATTGTATGTTTTCAGACGATGAAAGCTATGATTCATATGTGAAGATGGACTCAATTCAACTAAAGACATGTCAAATGTAGGGTGAATAAGCATTGGTCTTATATAGTAACTTGCTCCTTCAGTAGTAACTTGCTCCTTGCATATCAAGTATAGATATATCAAAAACCCAATTCACTGCATAACATATCAATATATTATCTATTTAGGGTAGAAAGCCTCACGAGCCACCACAAACATCACATCCTGAAGATTTTATGGATAGTTATATCCATCTAGAGCTTAATCATATGAATATCTGTTCCAAATACAATTATCTCTCATATGTGTGAGCAATGAATCCATTTGTGGATAAATCAAGAAAAAAATATAATCTACATTGGATAATTAATTGTTGGGGATCACTCTTCTCACAAGATAAGTTTTAGTAAGTTAGGATACACTAACTCACGCTTGAATACTGAAGTAGCCTGTCCCCTGAGATATTTCTCGGTAAGGGCACTACGTTAACCAGCCTGCTCATGTGCTGCGTTTCTCTCTTTAAGAGTTTGCCCTTTTACAACATGAGGCAGTAGATTCCTTAAAAACCCTCTAATATTCATCACTTCCCTTGAGAAAACCAAAGGAAACTAAGAAATAAAAGAAGGAAGAACGAAGGCTATGTCGTGCCACCAATGTAAAGCACATTATTTTGGCTAAGATAGAATATGATTGTTCGAAAGAGGTCCAATAAATACAGATTTCATGCTTGCATGTGCGAGTTTTGATCGCAGCGAGCTGCCCGTGTCTGTGTCAATATAGGCTCGGGCAACCTGGACCTGTTTATCTCGGTCTGTTCGTTTGCTTCTCCCACGGACTGGCACTCTTCCAAGCGCACGATTGTGCTCCAAGTTGTGTAGGGATCTCAAGGTTTGCAGGTGGGCGCCTGGACTCTACTCTTCGTTGGAGGGAGTACCGCCCGACTCTGAAGCAGATGAGGATCTCTGATTTTATATGCCTAAGTCTAGACTAGGACAGGACGGTGAATCGGGTCTGTACGAGTCGAGATGTGTTTCCAGTACCTGAAGTTTCGGCTGTAGACGGTTTAAATTGGTCTTATAAATTCAGGGTGCTGGGAATTCCAGATTTTGTATTTCAGTAGATGGGAAGTCTGATGCGAAGACAATCCCCGATCGACTTGGAGTTTGGGTCAGAGAGCTCTGTCACCTCTGTTGTTGAAAATAGAACAGATTTTTTATTATGATATTGACTTGGAGCACAGACCGCCATACACTGCCGGCATAGGAGCAACTCGTCAGCACAGCGTTGTGTAACTTGTGTCAGGCTGCTGTTACCTGTTCGTCGAGAGTGCAATTCAATCCTTCCAGACTAGTAACTCTCGAGCATTGGCCTGGAGGAGCAACAACAGACATCGCAGTTATACTTTTTTTGGGTGGTTGTGGCATATCCTTCTCTGCAGTTTTACCGTCACTTTTGATCTCGGTAGTTGATTTCTTGTGTAGGTAATGTTACAACAGTCTGGAATTTTGCCCAATTGAAAATGAGGTCAACTACTAAATTGAGCTCATTTTCATCTGAAGGACTCAAAATCAGCACCCCGAAATGTACATTCAGTGAAGTGCGAAGAATTGTACTTTCCCCTGGTTTGAGGTTGTTCAGTGACGATATCGATGAGAGGACCTCGGATTGGTGTGGCAAGCACTGTAAACCCGAAAGAGGACACCGACAGCTTTGATTTCTTCCCCATCCCAGTGATAGAAATACGGAACTGACGAAGAGGCGACTGCGAATTGTTCCTAAACGTGAGCATCCTTCTGACCGAGAACGCCATATCAATCCACAAGAGATCGCCTACACAGTTCCAGACAGTCGCAGATATGTTATCAGAAATCGCAACTCAGTCTATTCACCTCAAAGCGATGACCTGGAAGAAGCTCTCTCGGAGGTGGAAAGTCAACATGACACTGAGGCTTGCAGCTGTAGCTATCTGGGTTCCAAGCTTTCCTGTGAAAAGCTGGCCCTGTTTCCTAATCTCAACATCGATTTGGGAGGCGCGGGCTTTGACAACTTTAAGTAAAAAGAAAGGGATCTGGAGGTGAGGGCAGCTTTTTCAAATCAGCCGGCTTTTCATCCGATGTTTTTTGTCCCTCCCGTTGTCGCTGTGGCAGCCGTGTGTCTATTTTTGTCAGCTCTCCAATGCACGAGACGTACAGATTATATCTTACCTGGTTTGCCTCAAATCGCCAATTTCAGCTTCCGCTGTCCTCCAGTTGTCAGTCTGTGGGCAGACTTATTATTAGCTTCCGCCCTGTGCATCAATCATTCATCTGTTAACTTGCACTTTTCAAGTCAACGTGACCCTTTACATACTCACATTACCATCTCGTTCGCCGGTCATTCAAGTACGAACTGGACTGAACTGAACTGCGGGCCGTGGTGCCAGATATAACCGTGTGGACATGTTGGACTTTCATCTATGACCATGTTCACTGATACACACAAAGATACAATGCACTGTCAGAATCAATCAGACTTCTTTGCTCTTCCGGCACTCAAAACTCACAAAGTACTCCAAGGAACGGTGTGAATACACAGACGGTATTGTTCAGTTTTCTTCTGAACCTGTAGTACATCATTCTTGACTTTGCATGGATTTTCAGTAGTCTACATGGTACCTCACTGATTGGATGTCTTCTGCACGTGAAGGACATTCACGGGCGTGGATAACTGAACTTATTCAATCAATAAAAGCGACCACAACAACACCAGAATTATGAATTTTACTCCACCCCTTTCGTTGCCTTGACATCTCACTTGCCCTCCAGAACATCCACTTCCAATATTAAGGAGAGGGAGTTAAGGAATTTACTCCCGGGATTCCAGAGTTGGCGATCTGCAGACACTCGTCTCCGTTGCTGGATCGCATCCGTGGCGAAGGGGAGGAGGGAGGGGGAGGGATGAAGCAGATTAAGGCACATGGGGGAGTGACCGTACTTGCTCATGAGATGATTTGCAGTGTCCAGAATCAATCACTAAATAAGCCCTGACAACACGGCTACGGTACCGCAGAGAGGGACCGAGGGGAAGGGCGGACTCGTATGCTATGCCAGGCACTGGAAGGATGTCTGTCTTCCAGGCGAAGCAGAAGTAACGTGGTGGCCATGGGACATGATGAGCCATAAGTCGGAATAATCTCGGACCGGATGAGAACCCCGTCTCCACCAATGGACTCTGAAACATCAATCAAACCTCGGCCACCATCTCCCATACCTTCCCATCCCTCTCCCCCTCTCTTTCGATAGCTCTAATATCTGGCTTCCCCCATCATCGCCACCACGCCTCGCTCCCCGACTCCATCGCCAGACGAGGACGACAAACTCGTCGACGAAGATAATTGATCTCTGCAGGATGTGCAGGCGTACGTCGCTCGACTCCAGCAGCCGGCTCCCTCCGCGCGCAGAGCTGCAGAATCGCGAGGGTGGGGACCAACGTTGAATGCCGCTAGCGAGCCCGGCGACCACGAGCGCTCCTCAGATCCGATCTTAAACAAGGAACGGGCACACGGCCCAGGAGGAGCAGCCCACGCTGTGGCAGGCAGGAGCGCGGACCCGCGGATCTAGAGCGGTCTGAACTTCGAATCCGGGGGACCGCGGGGAGAATCCATGCGGAATCCTCCAGGCGCCCGCTTGCGTAACCGCAGTCTGACCGGGACCGATCTGATTCGTTTTTGGTTCTGGGACGCGAACAATAACGCTCGTTAAGTACACAAATACCGAAGAAAGAGGTTCCCCTTTGGACTCTCGATTTGACTCTTGTCAGCTCTGAAGCCTGTCGGCCGCTTTCGTTCGCTTTTCTTGCGGCTGGTGAGCGCAAGATCCAGACTTTCTTCCTCTCGTGAAGATGGACCCGACAGCTCCCCATGCCAATTAGCGTCTCGATCTAAGGCTTCAGATTCCGCTTGATGCTAGAGGTCATAAATAATTGATTTTAGATTTTCGACTCGCTGATTTCTCCACTTTTAGACCAACTCCTTCTTGATTGATGGGAGTGGAGAAATAAGCGAATTTTAGGGTTTAAGGGAACACTCGGATCACAGCGAAGACATGAGGGATGAAGGCGATGGCGACGAGTAGATCATTCGGTCAGTCAGTAATTCGCTCGCTCGATCATATGTTCCGAGGTCATACTTGAGAAGCTGTCGCCAAAGGAGAACAGAATATCATCATGTCCAGAAACCGAGATGATGGTGTGGTGAGTTCAAAACGAGGACCTGGAAACAAGCACCCGCAGGGCTGCTAGGCCCCACGTACCTCGAGAGCCCGAAGATGTGGGAGCTCGGGCGTTTCTTACTTTAGTGACCCAGAGGCGGAATTCCACTGTCGAGCTTAAAGCTTGACCGTGATTGACGAGGAGAGCAGAGGTCGCTGGGGCATTCCTGCGCACCTCGAACGAATACCCGCCTTCCGCAAAAGACAGCGGGAGTGCTGGACAGGTTCAACAACCTGCACACTGGTGAGTATTGATGTCCTTCCAGGAAGTGGAGGTCATGGTCGAGGAGGGCATAGGGGAGTTCAATTCCTGCGCTTGGACGTTTGTCGACGCAGATCTTATCCAGGCTGTGAATAGATTTAGGGGTCCCACGTCTTAATGGCCCAGAAATGCAAGACTGCGATTCTAGGCCACTAGCCAGTACCTACTTCGCCTTTAGGGCTGTTCCGCGAGTTATTATCCGCGAAACAACAAGCTCATCCTCCATCTTTGTGGGAGTCGGGGCATGCAGCTCGAGTACTTTCCAACACCTACTGCTCGCGAATCGGACGAAAACCATGTCTCGTGCATCGATTGCAAGTACGTTCCAAAAGCCTTCCCCCTCTCAGGACGACTGGGCTAACTCGTCGACTGCATGCAAAGCATTGGGAAGCAGAGCAAAGCAGATGAGAGCAGAGGACAGGCCGGCATGGCCATAAAAACCGTCGCTGTTCTCGGCATAAAGAATCGCATCTGCCAAGGAGCAGCCACCCAGGCATGCCAGGCGCAGGAGGAGACTGTTGCTCTCAGGATTCCGTGAGGTAGGCGCAGCTTTCTCCACTGAGGAAGAAGGACGAGCGGAATTTGAATCTCTGGGGCACACACGTCCTTCCTCCTCTGCCTGTCTGCCTGCCACTCCTCGCCCCTGGGCTTTCTCACACGGTGATCATCCGGGGACCACGTTTGCTGCAGCAGAAAGGTTCAGAACTCTAGGACCACCGTACGACGTGAGCAGAAGGCCGAGGGAGATGAGCTAGGACGAGAAGATGGAAGGAGAAATCTGTCGAAGGAAGCCATTCACGAGCACATAGCATTCTCAAACAGGACAGCATCTTCGCCCCGGTGCACAATTGTCATCACCATGAGCATCAGCAGGAAGGAGGTGAGGAGACGAGCAGGTACCACAGCGAGGCAGCAGGGGTAGAACCAAGGGAACTGACTTACAATTGTTCCACTTTGAAGTGGTTTCTTTAAGAACATTGAAATCGGCCGGAATCACAAATTCAGCTCCTCCGAGCTTGGAGAATCTTTTCTCACCGAACATTAGTTTCCAGACCACACTTAACATCACGAAAGATGCCATTGCTAACTGCATAAATAGCGCGTTCCTGCAATTCATGAAGCACGAGGATCGGTGACCGACCGACTGAACTGACTGACTGACTGACTTGACTGCACTGCCTGAGACTACATAAATACAAAATTGAAGAATCCGGTGGTGGAAACAGCTCGTGGCCTTGTCCTTGCGGCCACCAGATTCAAAGCTTTTCTTCTTGGATCGTTCGTTACTGAGCAGATCTGGACAGACTGCAACTAGTGAATAAGGAATTCCTCAATGTAATGATGATTTACAAAAGTTAAGAATGTATCTCCTAGCAGATGGGAGAGAGCGGACGGCAATATTGAAGCGGAAAGAGCAAACAGAGGGGCAGAGGCAAAGAAGAAAAAACTCCACTACAATCTCCAGTAGTTACAGTTGCCGGGGAGATTCGGGGGAAATCTCAGAGTCACAGGGCACCGACGAGCTGGGGCCCCTGATATGTTGAGGCCACGAGTCGATTCGGATATCCCGCGGGGCTTCGCGATCTACTGCCCGTAGTGAATTATTGGTCTCGAAAGGAGGCGAGCCGAACGACTGCATTTCCAGGTCTTCCTCGTCCAACCTGCTGCTCGCGGTCCGCTGAGAGTAAGCCTTGTTGAAAGAATAGGCCCTGGTGAGGGATTGGTTCCTCGTCAGGCTGTGCACTTTGTTGAACGATTGAACCCTGGTGAGCGACGACACCCTCGGCAGATCCTCCACGCTCGGATGGTAGCCCCTCAATTTTCCGAACGCCGGCACGTCCACGAAATCCTTGTCCCTCTCCCGCACGGGCTCCCCGAATTCTGAGTCCGACTTGCGCGACTCACTCTTGTGGGACGACGATCTCCTCGACGACGTCTTCTTGTTCAGCCTGGCGCTCCCGAGCACGACCTCCGTGGGCAGAATCAGCTGCCCATCGCTGTTAGGAGTGCCCAGCATCAGCGCCAGCGCGCGCTCCAGCGACGTGGTCACCTTCTCCATCGACGGCCTGTCCTTGCCCCGCATCCTCACGCACTGCGCGGCCACCTTGGCCAGCTTGTCCAGAGCGTCGAGGTCGGGAGGATCCTCGATCCGGTTGTCGAGAATAGTTCTCGTGAGCCCGGCTTTGATCAGCGGCACGGCCCACTCCACGATGTTGCCCTGCGGGTAGCCCATGTCGATGGCCTTCCGGCCGCTCATGATCTCCAGCAGCAGCACGCCGAAGCTGTAGATGTCGCTCTTGGTGGTCAGATAGTGCAGGCGATAGTACTCGGGGTCCAGATAGCCCAGAGTGCCGGCCGGCGGCTCGGACAGAGGGCAATTGCTGTTCTCAGGGCCGAAGAGCGAGAGGCCGAAATCTGCCACTCGCGCATTCCACTCCTCGTCGAGAAGAATGTTGCACGATTTGATGTCCCTGTGAATGACTGGATGGCAGGCATAGCCGTGCAGATACTCGAGCCCCCGGGCGGCCTGCACGGCGATTTTCAATCTGGTTACCCAATTCAGCTGCTCTTTGTCCTCGCCGTGCAGGTGCTCGAACAGAGTGCCATTGGCCATGTATTCGTACACGAGCAGGCGCTCGCCGCCCTCCTCGCAGTAGCCCAGAAGATTGAGCAGGTGCGCGTGGTTCAGCCTCGAAAGCAGGTCCAGCTCGTTGCGGAACTCCTTGCTCTCGGGGACCTTGTCGGGATTGGTGGTCGACCCCATAGCCCGCTTGACGGCCACAACAGTCCCGCTGGCCAGAATGCCCTTGTACACGATCGAGAAGCTGCCGCGTCCGATCTCGTGGTCCGCCCCGAATTCGCCCGTGGCCTCCTGCAATTCCTGGTACCGGAACACGTGCGCCCGCGGATTCATCGGCTCCTCGTGCCGCCCCGACCCGCCCTTGGTCTTGTTCGAGCTCGACCGGAACGACGACTTCTTCGCGTGGTGGTGCTGATGGTGGTGCGGCAAGCTGGCGTCCGTGGTGGGCGCCGTGGTCGGGGGCGTGTTGTTGCTGGGCGCCTTCGAGTCCAGATCGTCGGCCTTGAGCGCCACCTTCGCGAGCTTGTAGCGCACCCAGAAGTAGGCCCCGAGCAGCAGCGCCGAAATCACCACCACAGCCGTCACCAGCTCACCGATTATGATAGGCACCTGAATGGTGCCCCCATTGTGCCCAGAATTCGCAGTCGGGGGCGAGCACGACGCCCCACCCTTGCTGCACCCGAGGTCCGTGTTCGGCACCGGGGGCGCAACCGAGGGCAGAGGGTAGTTCGAGCCCCAGCAGACAGTCCTCAAGGAGCCTCCCGACACTCCGCAGGTGAAGTAGTCGCCAGCCACCATGAACTGCAGAGACTCATTCTCGGGCGTGGGCACGAGGCTCGGGGTGGCCAGGCCCCAGCAGATCGGGGTGAGAGTGTCGGCCTTGAGGCCACAGGAGTGGAACTTGCCGCCGACGAGCCCATTGAGGAAGACGCCCTGCGGAGGGCCCCCAGGCGGGGCCAGAGTGCGGCCCCAGCAAATGGTGCGCGCAAGGCTGCCTTCCTCGATGCCGCAGACATGGTACCCTCCCGCAGCGATGCTGCTGAAGGCGACATCGGGCACGCCCTGGATCACATTGTAGCCCGAATCGTCGCCCCAACAAATGGCGGTCCGATTGCTGGCGAAGAGCCCGCAGGTGAAGAACGATCCGGCCGTCAGCGCCAGCAGGGGCTGGCTGATGAACGAGCCGGTCATGTTGTAGCCCCAGCAGTCGACCCACGGGCCGAGGGAGCTCGAGGCATTGGCGCTCTTCTTCCGCGCCTCCGCATTCACGCTCGCGCCGCCCTCCCGCAGGGCGCAAAGGTGGTTGTCGCCGGCGCTAATGCCGACGTATTTGATGCTGCTGTCGGGCATTTGCGGCACGCCCGCCGGAACGTAAATGTTGTTGCCCCAGCAGTAGGGCGTCTGCTCCAGCTGCGACAGCCCGCACACGAACCCGTCGCCGCCCGTGATGCCGCTCAGCGCGTGCCGCGACGGCGCGCCCGACACCGACGCCGCGTCCGTGCCGAAGCACGTTGTCAGCTGCGACCCGTCCTCCTTGATCTGGCACAGCGCCTGCCCGTTAACCCCATACGACACCGCGATTTTCCCAGCCGTGCCCAGCCCTTGCGCCAGCCCCAGCAGCCCCAGCCAGCTCAGCGCCAGCGCCAGCCAGCGCAATGCCCTCGCCATCTCTGAGTTCGCCCTTGAACCTGCCTTCTCAAGCCATGCCCTTTCGTGCGACCTCTCCGTGACCCTTCTCTTCTTCCTCTGCGCTTGCTTTTCTTACGAGTTCGGAGCCTGATTGCGACTACGACGACGGGTGGGATACCGGACGAGGAAGGTGCGATTCGCGGTCTCGCTTTCGGTTTCTGCCTCGGCGCACTCCTCCCGATCGCCTTGCATAGCGCAGTGAAGAATCTCTGCCCTCACCCGAGCATCGTCATCCTACTTTGCGGCGGCGGTGGTGGTGGTCGGGTACTTACTTCGTGAGGGATGCGCCCGCGCTGCTGCTACTCCTTGGCTTCTTCGCTCTCCTGCATTCTTGCTCGCTCGATCCTCTCCTCGTGTTACTGCGTTTCCTGCTTCTTCTTCTTTTTGTTCACGACAGTCGTCGGCCGAAAGACTCACTCTCTCTCTCTCTATCTCTTTCTCTATCTCTCTAGGGAAGGATGTTCACGAGCGTTGGCCAATGTCAGGGCCTCAGGGAGATGCAAGTTCCTGCTGCTGGCTTGCATTCCATCGTACCGGGCTCGAGGGGCAATGTGCTTTCTAGGTATACCGCGAGCGGCGCTGTTCTGAGCTCCTGCCTCGTCGCCATCGAGAGTTTCGGTGCGCGGGAGTCCGAGGCGTCACGAGGGTTGACGACAAGAAGAACTGAGACGCAATGTCATTGTAGCTCAGGAAATGAATGGAGGGGAGAGGATGAACGCAAGCAAGAAAGTTCCGCCGTACCACTTGTTTCTCGACCGAAAGAGCTGCTCGAGTCTACTGGAGGCCTGGCGCTGCCGGCGTCATTCTTTCATCCGAATCCAGGCATTTCAAATGTGCACATCTCAACCGACGACCCCGACCATCGTCGTCCGTCATGACACGCGCCATATATCGCAGCAACAGCAGCAGCAGTCACTCCCAGCCCACGGACATTGAAGCAGCTCCCCCATGCTTTCGCGCTACGAGCATTACAGAGCGAGGTGAAAATCTCGTGTCTCCCTTTCCCCGCCCTCTGTCCCTCCCTCTCTCTCCCTCCCTCCCTCCCTCCCTTCTTCTCTCGCTCTTCCCTCCCAGCTCGCCTGCTCGCCTGGCCTCGCCCCCGCCGCCCTACACGCTCAAATCTCAGAGACCGAAGGAGCACCGTCGAGGCATAGCCCAGCAGCCATCACTTGCTCGCACAATGTTGTACGCCTTCCACAGCCCAGACTAGCCCTGACCAGCTCAAATCCCCCGTCGTAGTCATTCGAATAGGATTCCGATCACTGCGCTCCTCGATAAAGTCCCGCTTTTCCTCTTAACTCCCGGCAGTAATCGTCCTCAGCCCGTCGTCATCATCATCATCTCGTCTCTAGTCTCATCGATAGGCGATCAATCGTCCCCTCCTCACCTCCCTCTCTCAGAGGGCTTCTGCAGCTGGAGCTGCTGCTCGTTCTGCTCTGCAGTTCTACCCCACTGTGCTACTGCTGCCGCCGAGTCCCCACACTCCACACTCGTCCCCCCTGCACCAGAGCCAACGAAACAAGAGCTCATTCAGTCCACTCTCAGTGACGGGAAGAGGAGAGCGTTGCCAGTGGGTCTCGACAGTCAGCCGAGGCAGTTCAGTCCAAGCGGGGGAGGGCAGACGGGCAGGGGGGGCCAAGGATCGGAGGGAGGTGAGGAAGACTGGGCAGGCCCCCGGGGCAGGAGGGCGACGAGGCGGGGACGGGCGAGGGGTTCAGGGCAGGGGGGGCAGCAGCAGATAGGTACACAATGATAGGCAAATCTTTACATGCCACGTCACGCGCCATTCTATTGAATTTAAGTGCGCGCGCTTTCATCCACCTACTCCCTGTCTCTCTGCGCCCCCCACTTCCGGCACCTCCTCCACCGGCACTACCCGGTCTCGACCTTTACCGCCGACTACCGGGCCGCGAATATTCCCGTCTGATCCTCCATCGACCACCTCAATGCCTCGGACCTTCTCAATCGGATATCAAATCGACGGCTTAGATTCTCCAGCCTAACCAGCAGTAGACGACTGGACGGCCCGCAATGAAACCTCGCCATCGTCGTTTCGGCTCCCGGTTTCCCGGTGTCGACGTGCCAGGTGTTGAGTTCGATCGCCGCCGACCACGAGAGCGGAGGCCGTGCTTACGCAGTTCTCAGTGGTGGGGGTTCCTCCCGCTGCCACCGTACGTGGTAGATGAATCTCGAGGCCCCCTTTCTTCTCCCGAAGCCCTGGACTACCGGCTGGACTACGTCCGCCTCCGCCCCCGCCCGCAACGGATGAACTATCCCCTTCCCCCTCCTCCGCCTGCGCCTCCATCTCTGGACACTCGATACCCGGGCAAAGTCCTGCCGTATCGTCCTCAAAGCCCCCCTCCTTCCCCCCCCCCCCCCCCCGAGAGTCTTCGCGCTCCAAATTTGGACCCCCCGGCTAAACTAGAGTCTCCACCTCCCTCTGATGCTGCTGCGCATCGACGACGATCGAGGCTCACCGTGTCGGAAGAGGCGAGATCGCAAAAGGGTCGGAGCAGGACAAGGATTTGGGCTGGAGTTTGAACAGTCAGTTTTTTGCGGTGCGCGCAGGTTTTTTAAATTTCGGCTGCGGGGGATTTTGATATTTTTGCCCTGCCCTCAAAAACTCGGAGCCGAGACATTTCTTACCCTGCGAGAAAGGACGATGGTGTTTCTTGATGGCACCATTTCTCTGCTGTTGCTGTTGCTGATGCTGAGCTGCTGATGTTGCGGCCGCAGCTGCTGTAGCCTTTGGAAGCGGGCACCTCCGTAGGGGAGAATAATTCGTCTGTGAGGAGACTTTTTATTTGAGAATGTCGTAAAAGGGCTGCTGCTGCTGCTGATGTTGGTGATGGTAGTCGTGGTGTGGGCTTTGTTGTCCACATGTGACGGGGATCGAGAGTTTGTCTTCGTCATCCGACTTTTGCCCCTTCTTTTCCATAGAGATCGATAGAGAGAGATGAATCCGGTTGGATAATTGCTCGCCCTTTTTGTTTCTCTAGTTGAATAAGTCACCAGTCCGTTAACTGTTTTCGATCTCCGGATAGAGCTCCATCGCACCACTGCGCGCAAGTTCCTGTGGCCTTCTTCTTCCCTCCCCCTCGGCTTCGATCTTTTCGAATCAGCAGTTGAGAGTTGAGAGGAGGACGAGGAGAAGGAGAAGAAGAGGACGCAGTTGCTCGTTCCGCGCAACTCGTTTGCAGAGCCGCAAAGCCCGCTCTGCTTGCCGCCGTTGTCTCGTACTGCGTCGTAGATTAGATCACCAACGAGAAACACTAAATTAACTTAGTAGATTCGAGTAAGCAGATAAGTCCGCATCCGAGTAAGAGCATACCGCCCAATCACGTCAATGGCCACCCGCTTTGGGATTCTCAACTTCCCATCTTGGCGTGCAATTTCTTTATTTTCTTTGCATCTTCGGTCCAAGAATATTATAAGAGTGAGACTTCAAGGGACTTGTCGATAATCAGACGTTTTGTTTCGTCAAACTCCGCAGGTGTCAGGAAGCTAGACCATCCTCTCCTTCCCTCTCCTTTCCCCTCCAATCCACTCAAGTACATCAGTCAAAAGGGCAAGTCTGGATTTCTTGTAGGTTTGAATTTCTGGGCTCGTTTTGACGAACAAGGACTGATTTTGTTCTCTCCTACTTTCACCATCCCTTCGTTCGTTCCTCCCTCCCTCCCTCCCCTCCCGTCCTGACCTTACGTTCCGTCTCGGTTCCAGGGCTGTATTGGATCATCCAGAGCCATGCGATTTTTCCTCCACAATGTTGCTCTTTCTTCTATTCCCTTTGGGCCCTTCCAATTCAACCAAACTCGTGCTCACGTACTTCATCAACCATGGAGCCAGCTCCACCTTCAAAACTTGGAGTGATGAATACTAATCCACTTAATCTTGTTCGATTCACTTAGCTTGTTCAAAATTTGCGTAACATGAGTCAATTTTGGCATCCTTACTGCTTGGATCATCTACATGTGCTGGCTGAAGACACATCGTAGATATGATTTCTCAACTGCTTTCTTGGACACTGGAATAACTACTATACAAGTGTCTCGACCATCTATCTATCCTCACAAACTACAAACTATGGACCCTACAAATACGGAGAATTTTCAAGCATTATCGTTGTCTTCTGTCTCAACAGGAAATCAAAGGAGGAAAATAAACACAGCAAGTGTAAGTTATATTCTACTCCCAGCTTTCAGGGTAGAATCCATCTTTTTGGACGCCTCAAGAGAATCCGCTCTTGTACTTCGTCCCCTGATATAGTAGGATATTACTGTTCCCATCAATCATTTTTCCCTTGTCTTGCTATATTCTCAAAAGTAAGCGGGGTCGTGATGATAGGGCCAGGCTTTCTCTCAGATCACGCACCCCTTCTCCGTCACGAAAAGTGAGCCTACTTGCTTCGACCACTGTGTGGGGGATATGTGGAGAACATCATGAGGTGGACATTGGAAAATGGTTTGAATTGTGGGCTACCTCATCTCACTCGAGTCAGGGCGGAGATTCAAGAACTGGACGTCGATCCAGCTGTAGCCAGTTTCAGCCAATCTCCTCATACGCATCCTTCTTGTTTTGAACCTATTATACAAAGAAACCCTTGTGCATAGGTTTTTTCAAACAGACATTGTTTGTTTTTCTCCTTATCGTTATTCTCTTTCGATTATTGAGATGTGGTCTTTTGTAAAACTAGGAGTTCTTTTAGCGAGGACAAACGGCTTCAATTTACTTCCCGTTTTTCTCTTCTCGGGAAAAATCATTTCAAAAAGAAACAAGTGCTTCATTAGCTTCTGTCCACCGTCAGAAGATATTAGTATCCTGTGTTTTCTAGCATGCAGACAAAGGTCACTTCCAACGTGAAGCGGAATGTCGACCCAGCTTTACAGAACGCACGAGAATGTACTTTGGGAGCAATAACTCCTCAATCCATAGGAATCCTGGTAAGTTTGCTCGGCTTTTAAGAGTTACTTAAGATTCAACATCTATCTTAATTTTCTTAATAGACCTAGTATCGCGATCATGATCCAATCTGAACTTCTGTGGAGAACAATAACTTCGAGAACGTTACAACGTATGCACAATCGGAAAGATTGGGGCACTTGCAGGATTTGAAGCTAATGGGATCATGGAAGCTAGACCCAGGTCAGTGGTCAGACTGATGGCTGGATTTCATTCTGCTGCTGAGACCCAGTGCATGAGAAAGACCTGAGATTTGACTGCATCAAAACTTAGTTTGCATGCATGGTACCATGTCGGTGTCGAGTTTCCTGGTTGCTCGGCCCTACTCAGCAGTACAGCACATAGTGGAGCTGAGGTAGAGTGGGGTACTGTAGCCCGGAGTGACAACAAGGTAAAGAACGTTTGGGTCTGCTCACCACGTAGAGATTGTCAATGCAGTAACATGCTCTGCGACGAGTGATAGCAGCTGACAAAGGACAGTGAGACAGATTTGCAGACTGGATGGTGGGGTGGTGGTACAGCTGAACCATTTTGTCGAGCTTCTTCACCGACAACGAAGGTGTCAACTGGAGAGCCGAGTGTCACTGGACTCGCTGCCCCTGCTCCTGCTCCTGCTGGACCTCCTCCTCCTCCTTTGCCAGGACACGTCCAAGCGTCCACTTGCAGGCAGGGCCTCACTGTTCTAACCCGTCGCATCTCCCCCTGCCTGACAGCCAGACCGGACCCAGCTCGATGATGGACAATTCATCGGCCAGGATTGGCCCCTGCGCCACATTGTTGACGTCTAAGGTGGATAACATTATCTCGCCCTCACGCCAAGCTTAGACTAATGCAGCCACAGCCACTGGAGATTTTGTAGCAGTTTATCTGACCTGATTCCATCTCTCGAGACCCCTGAATGGGATTACCCTAACCCGAGGGTATACAGACCCTGAGCTATGCTATGGCATGGTAAGAAATGATTTTGTTCCACGAACATTACCCTCCTGCCCTAACAGACGCCAGAGACATTGCACTCTTCAGTTTGCCGTCTGTATGCAGAGAGGAGGAAACTCGGAGTACGGAACGGACGTGATCCACGGTAGACAAGGGAGCGAGCTGAGGTGGTGGAAGCACGTTTCGACACACATCGAGAGCTACTGCTGCTGCTGACTTTAAAGAGCAATGCTGTAGAGTCAATACGTAGCTCTGACGTCACTTATCCTCCATGCTAGCATGCAGAATTGTCGGTCCGGGGTTTCCTCACGCATATGGTGCGGTCGAAACCAGAGCAGACGAAATATTCTGACCCTAGGTCTTGTGGGACGCCGGTACTGATACGCTGAGTCGAGACCAATATTATCCTGTATATACAGTAATGTCCTGCATGGGGTCGCACTGGAAGTGCTACATTCCGTAACTAGTGCTGTAGATAAGGTGGGAGGGACGATCAATACAGACATTCCTGGAATGTTAGGCTATCGCAGTCTCCACCGCTATTGCTTCGCACTTCCCGGTTGACTGCTACGCCCGACTCCACTGACTATTTGGGGGTGGTACGTATAGAGCACATCACTCCTCCGTCGACAAATGGACGTAGACACGACTGCGACAATTCAGAGTACATCTGGACTGGGTTGTACAGTAGCTTCTTGCAAGAAACTGCTGAATGCTCTCGCTGTCTGACAATTCTCGGTTCAAACCACTCAAAACTGGAGATAGGTTCTTGATGGTTCCTACTTGTTTTTATGGGCAAAGGCAAGTATCTTTAAGTAGGTCTGATATCCCCCTCGCACACTCTCCATACTCCTTCTCGAGTGGTGATAGGCATCACTGGATTGGAAGGAGACAGAGGTGATGTCTGCTTTCTACTCCTCGGGAAACAGCGTCTCCTGAGACTTTCAGTGTGTCGTCGCGAAGTCAATCCCACAATCACGGAATGTGGGAAGCTTCGTGGAGGATGCAGAGGCTCCCCTGAAATGGATTCTATTCTCTTGTAGGCAGAGGTGCTGAATCATATTTACAGGTGCGTGTGCGACACCTCCTGGATGGATATCTGCACACTATCACCTTTGTTTAATTGCACGCCCATCGAGTTGAGGGCGGGGAGCATTACCAACCTCAGTATTGGAAGAGAGCCAAGACCCTGGGAGTCTAAGATGGGTCCGCTCTTTCCAGTGATGGTGTGATTACTCTGCTCAAAGGACTAATGGAATCTACAACAGGAGGAAGTTATAACGCTGAGACCATAACGATCACCAAGATTCACCTGAGGCATTGAGGAAAAATGTTCGTTAGGGCAACAGGCTCTAACACGAGTTTTCGTCTCTTTTGGGCTTGTCATGATCCCCAATTTTGTGCCACTAAGGCCCCGTTCTTCAGGCAAATCAAGGGGGCACAACGTCACCAATAGGACAATTTCGTGGCGACCAACTCTCCTGCCAAAGCAGAACAGATTTGATCGCCGTCTTTCCAGAAACTCTGACGGGACTGGACAATGTTGTGAAACTCAGTCTTCAAATGAGCTTGTGGCTTTAGGGAGGAAAACGAAGCTCTTTTGACGACGTACTTTGACACCTTGTTCTGCAAACATCACAAACCAAGGCAACGCTAAATTGCCGTTGGACGAGGACCAAATCTTCGAAGGCAGCCTTGATCTATTTGCTACGTTTGAGTCCGCACATGACGTGTACGATATCACACAGTTCGCCTCTTGAAAGATCTGTCTGTCTCTTCTAAGCGATGGTCAGCTACTGATAGCAGGTACACAGCACAACATGACGTACGTTGCAAAATCTGAGTCTCACACAAGTGTCTTAAAAATGTGAATTGGAAAACCAAAGAAGACAAGTGGACGATTGATGATTCAAAAATGGATCGCTGGACTCTGGGCAAAGATTATCAGAAAGGAGAATTCACTTCCGGAAGTGAAAATTGATTACAGATGGTTGCATATATGATTGCTGAATCGTTATTGCGAAAGGAAAAATTGGGTGGAACACGAAGGATGCCACACGCTTAGATCGACTGCCGTCATGGGCACCATTCTCTGAACCTGCGATTAGAAAACAGCACAACGGTTATGATACCAGAACAATTCCGATATTAAAAAAGGACTCTAGTGAAGTCGACACATTCCTAGCTAGAACTGGAGAACGGAAGGTTGTAACTGTGAGAAAATCAAGGTTATGGAATACAACTTCCAACAGGCGACCAGACAGTGATGAGGAATCTGACAAAAAACGGCGAACTGAACTTACCTGGATTGATTTTGAATTTAAGGGAGTTCGGTTTGCGCCTGGAGATGAATTTAATAGGATGCTCCATGCATGGTTTATGTCTTTCCATGGCCGATATGAGCTGAAACACATACACCATGAGGTACACATATGGCCACACAAAGTCAGGATCACTTGGTACTAGAATGCATATACGCCATCTTTACTCCCTTCGAATTTTGACTGACACAAAGTACAAACAGCGTATATCCAACACGGGTTTCGACAGATCTTTCGACAGCAGTTGAGATTTCCCAGGATTAGGGCAAAACATTCGTGTGCCATGTACTCTTGGAACTGGATCACCTGCAATGCATAGTTTTTCTTACTACGCACAATGGAGAAAAGAATACTCGCATATCAAACATTTCACCTAATAAACAAGGAGCAGGGTCCAACACAATTCTGGTTCGCAGAAAACTTCCTTCCACTCTCCTTTGATCATCCCAGCAATTACATTGTTAAAGCCAATTTGGCAAGTTTCTTGACCTAAGTACTGACCTTCTCATCGTAGTGGAAGAGAGATTGGTCGAAGTAAACGGACGGACTTTGACATTGAGAATTAAATGGTAGCCAAGCAAGTGTCCTCTTCACTACCTGCCACCAAGAAAATAATCACATCAGCAATTTGTAAATTTACAAACAAAGACGAAACTAGCTCAAAAGTCCAGAAAATTACGAATCGTCGATTTCGGTTAGGAGGAAACATACATTTTTTGTATTGCTGCTACCGGCTACCCTTTGTTTTCGAAGCTGCTCCCGTACGTGAACGTTGTTAGAGGACGTTGAGATAAAATTCATGTAGAAAGGAAACCGGGGCGCGACTCGGAAATGGTCGTAGAAGTTTTCGAAAGCTGAAAGTAATTCTTCGGATGAATTCTGGGAGATACAAGAAGAAGCACCAAACTCAGCATTTCTAGAAGCATTCGACAAGGAGTGTGATCTTAGCAACGAGAGCTGAACGTATCCAAGTGCACAAAAGTCTTCTTTCATCTCGAAAATATTTAGTTTCTAGTGAGCGGATGTTGTTGTGTAGACCTGGAAAAAGCCTAGCATTTCAGTAGTCTCCAGGTTGTAAAGGGCCAAAAAAGTAGTGTGTGACGGCTCAGCATTTCTGTTCACCTGTTCACAAGCAAAGCTTAGTTAAGAGAGGGCCGATTGAGCACAAAGACAACCTTCTAAAAATGGGGACAGAAAGTGTACGCTCACAAGCTAGTTTTCACAATAGAGCAGGTTGTGAAGACATGGGGAAAGGGGCGAGGTATAGAGAATTTTAGAGCAAAGAACACACCACTCCTTCGACGCTGCCAAATTTGATCAATAAATGATAGCGATCCAAAAACTGCACCTGCGAGAAACGTCATGTAAACAAGGAAGTGTGTCAGCTCCACAAGGCAAGACCACATACTCCCATATCATCAAGAACAAATTCGCACGTATTAACTCGGTAGTATTTCTTTGGTGTGCTATTCACTAACAGTAATTTCAGAAATGAAAATGCGAACAATGCTTCTGTCGCGGAATCGAGGAGGAGGTTGTCTTTAAGTACCTTGCCCATAACCAAATCTACGTACTCTTGAAAATGGTAGTAGAAACGCGCCAACCGCTTAGCCTTCTGCAAGTTCGAACACACATGACAACGCCACTAAAACAGTTAATGACATAAGGCGATGAAAGTGTGCCAAGTTCTAAAATCCTCCTCTGTGGTTTGAACGTTTCAAACCGCCGCATGTAGACGAGCTCGAAGGTGGAGAATAATCCGAGAGAAGCGTACAAAACCATCAAATTTCACGGACCTGTTCGCCTCATAATGGTTACATAGAAAATTGAAACGATGGAACACGAATTTCGGTAGGAGGTTGAAGTACCGTGCTGGGGTCTAGGTTTGTATCCCAGTTTCCCTTGTAAACGAAGGTAAGCAACCGCTGTTTAATGCCACCCAGCAACTGCGAACTTTCTTCCGGAGACGATGCTTGTTCTGTGTCTCTGCTGTTTCGCTGAGGAGCTCCATTCGTCTCCGCATCATTTATCGAACGGGGAGCAGGGGGTACGATGGCTTGCCCGGCTCTTGCTGTATTACCGTTGGAAGTCACGTCCCGGTGCGATGCAGAAGGTCGGGTAGGACTTCCAGTTGAAGGTGCTGCTCTTTCACCACTGGCACTGGCTCTCTCATTGGCAAACCTCGAGGGTAAGAAACGATCGTTTAACCGCGACGTTTCCTCTGTTACGGGTGTGTACACTGCAGTCCCTTGAGTCCGTCGGTTTTCCGAATTGTGAGGCGGACCGGCAGCAGACCCGCCATTTCCTACAGAACGGTGGCCATTTTCACGATGATGAGTCCTCCACTCATTGGCACCATGTTGAGACACACCTCCGACGTAATTATCTTCGGCTGGTCTCGCCTGTTGTACATTGGCAAGACCGATACGCGACCGACTACTGACAACATATTCCAACTGGTTGTTTTCTGTTGACTGAACACTCACAGAACCGTTTCCTCCGGCTCCAGTTCCATAGCTTATGCTGCCTCCGCCTGAAATACTACCGTCCCATCTAGTGCCACCATCGCTACGACTGCAACTCTCACTACTTGTACCCGTGGTGCTTGTGTAACGGACAGAAGGGCTTCCCCTACCGCCTGCATATCTTTCTACGCTGTCACCACTGGCACTGGAGTATGATCTGCCATACCGTAGTAACCCACTGGCTGCATGGTGACCCCCGCCGCCAATCGTAGACCCGTCCACACGAATACCAGACCCGTAAACATGCTCTGGAGGAGCCACACCTCCCCTCGATTCCACCGCAGATGAGTGGTGACCGTTGCCGTAGACATGTGATTGGAGAGGACTACGAGGTCTTTCGTGTCTACCTGGATTTACTCTACCTTCCCCGTCACCCAGGCCAGGCACCCCTGACACTATTCCATTACTTTGCCCATTGTCTTCCATATTGGCAAAGAGTTCTCTGAAGTAATGGTCGAAATCAGATCCTTGAATTCCCCCATACAACCCGTTCATTCGTGTGTCAGGACTACCGACCCCATCTTCCGAATTCGAGGGTAACGCAATATTCGAGGAATGTGGTCCTTGCGGATTTGCGGAACGGCTTCCACGACTTCTACCCGAATGGGCCCCTTTAGCAGAGACCGCATGTTTCAACCTGAGGTTCCACTCGAGAGGCCAAGCGTTTCCTTGAGATGTGAGCATTCTCTTTGAAGCGGAGACTTCAGCCTGGGCTGGCAGTCCTCGGGCTTTTCGGTGAGCCGCCTGATTTTTGATGTAAAAATCTTCATCCTGCATCAATAGACCGAGGTCACAAAACTCCCTTAGAAACTTCCCAGAATCTTTCGTTTTCATCACAAGGAGCATCTATATTACCCTCAACACAACGACTGCAATCACGCGAAACTGTGACAGAGCAACAAGGCACAAGCCCAGTGCAAACTATGATCCACACTGGGATGTCCTCTTGATATCCACACGTTTTCCAAAAACCTTCGATAGCTCCCGTATTTTGAGCACCTTATAGCACATTAGAACTGAACTACCAATTCCAAATATGAGTTCTACAATCAACCTACATCCACAGGTGGAAGACATTCAAGATAGATTCATCACAAAACATAAATTAGCATGGTCAATCTAATGACTGATAAACCGGATGGAGAAACAAGAGGATCAAATCTAGAATTTACCTCCCCAACCAAGCCGTTCCTGTAACAACATCCTAGTAATCTTAGGCCTACGTTCAAAACCATAAATTGTTCTGCACTAACCTGCGCTTGTGAGTTGAGGACGAGTTCATCGTCCTCCCGGCAAAATGCTCCAATCGTGCGGACATCCACGAACCTTCCAGTTTCTCGAATCTGAAGTATTCGAATGGACTGATAACGGATAGATAAGATCGCCAACAGGTCGTCGTAGAGAAACACGCCCGTGTTGTAGTGAGATAGATGGATATAGTCGTCATGATAGATACGCTCATCTACGATGTGACCGTCTGATAACCTGACATCAGGAGGCCGTTAATCAGGACGAGATAACCTACTCCATTGAACGTCACTTCGAAGAAAAGGGCTACGATAGATGCCACAATTTTACCATCAATCTACTAGGAAAAAATTTCCAGCTGGCAATATTCCAATGATTCCATCCTACCCTTCACTGATAAAGTGACCTAGATTTTGAACTCATGCCGTCCGGAATCGGCAGCAAATTTCTCGACACACCAATATCTTTCGACCAACGAGGTAGAATCTCCGAGGAGGGCACCTCGATCGCTCGACTAGATCCGATCAGTCCTTAGCACTATAACCTGGATAGTGAAGACTTAGAAATTTTGAAACTAACCTTACGAGAAATATGGCTATCTTCTCAATTGATGGAACCCCAGGCACGGCTCCCTCGGCGGGGGGTGGACTTTGATCGGGGACGGAAGTGGTCGCAAATACGCCATATATGTTATTATCCGTTGCGAGAAAGAAATCTTTGCATATGAGGTCAGAACCCGAAGCTAGGGAAACGGAATAAAGCGGGACGAAGTAGCTCTCGAATTTCTTCGACTTCGAGGGGAGGTCAGAAAACTGATCGGTCTCCTCCCCTTTGACGCAATAATTCAACCACCTAGGCCTGTAGACTATAAGATCCTGATGGTTTCTACTGAAGCAAATCAGGTACTGTCCATCATTGGTGAACTTCCGAAAAGAATGGTCCGGACACTCGACGTCGTACACAGTGTGACCCGGGACTATGTTTTCATAAAGCTCCCTCGCTCGGTGAATCTGCACCCCGACAATGAGTACGCAACAAATTAGATCACAAGAATACTAGTATTGACCTGCCACCCCGAATGATGGGCGACCTCTTCAGGGAAAAGAAGGCGAACAAGAGCAAGCTTATTCTTCTGGCAATGTCCCAACGACACTCCCGTAGTCACCGAGCACATCCTAAACACTTCGAAGAATTCATAAGGTGGAAACTCGCAGAAGCCCCACACAAAATACAACGAGCGACCGTAAAGTGCCGTCCTGGCCTGACCCAAGACCAATAAACAGACTAAAAAGGGAAGTCTCATGGTCAATTAATTCGCACGTTTTGCAGAATTACAGGTAAACACTCGACATTCTAATATCCAGTCTTGAGAATGCTCAATGTGGAAGGTTTCGTAATTATCAGTCTCTTTTTGAACACCAGTGATCAGAAAGTTCGTAGGCTACTGTTACGAAGAGAAAATTAGAACATTTCGTTACGAGGGTACAACTCGAAATTTAGAGCGAGAAGCAGAAAATTCGACTCAATATCCGCTTCAATGAAACATCTATGCAGAAAGCTGGGCAAATTGCCCGATGCACTCCATCAGCAGAACAGAGTACAAAAGCGTACGTGGGTATTCGGACGGGCGCGACAGGTTTGGCGCGAGAAGAGCCGATGCACAATGTTCTCACTCCGCCTCAACATCCCCTTTCGGCGGCTCTCCACTCCTATCACCGATACCTGACCCAATGTGCGCATGGAATGGGCAACTCGCGCTTGCTGCCATGCCCACTTTCGCCACAAAAAATACGTCCGTCCAACTCTTAAAGTTATCCTTGCCGTCCCACCCTCACCCCTGCGCTTTTATCCCCGTACAGTTCCCTCTGCTTCCGCCGTCTTCTTCCATGCCTCCCATTCCACTTCCTGTTCCTCCGTTTGCTTCTCGAACTGCTGCTGCATCCCGCAAGCTCCGCAGCTTGACCATAAGACTCTCAACCCAACTAAACAAGAATTCGCCACTCATCCTTTATTCTGACCATCTCAAACCCAAACAACACCATGTTCCAAAACGCTCCTCCTGCCTGCCCTGTCGAATCCTGCCCTGCCTTTCCTTCGCTTTCCTTCCCCTGCTCTTTTCCTGCGATGTAATTCTCACATAGGCTACGGTCCTCTGAGTTCAATTTCTCATCACAACGTCCATACCAACTCCGTACTCCGGTCCATTCCAGTCCAGTCCAAAGCCTTGCTACCTCCACGAGAAATACGGCGACCATGTGCGATGAGATAATAATCCTGCCTCGCCTCCCGTGACCTCGCCCGACTCTATCTCTCTCTACCTCGCCGCACTCTGTGTGTGTACCCGTGAGCTAAGAAAGAGAAAAGACCCGCGCATAAAATCGACCACAGAAGAGACCGAAAGCATGGCGAGAGTAGAACGGAACCACCCGAACGAAAATGAACGAGTGAGCGAGAATGAACCGAATTCGAAAGACCTAAAGAAGCGATTCTGCTGCGCTGCTGCTGCTGGTGATGGAGCTCGTTGAGGAAAGGCCGGAGCAGGTCGCGAACCTGGTGCTGCTGCAGCAGATGATGATGATGATCATGTCGTGTCGAGAGAGTCGGGTGGAATGGAAAGGAATGGCAGGGAAGAAAGTGGCCCGGCCAGAGCACGCGACAGACAGAAAGACAGAAGAGACGGGAGGAAGAACGGGGAAAGGCAAGGAGAGCGACGAAGGGGAATGGGAAAAGGAGGCGAACGAGGGGAGTGGAAGGGGAGAGGCAAATCTCAACGGCTCGAGCAGACCACAAACTGGAGGGCTGGTCACGTGAAGAGCAGAGAGGCGACGAGCCCGAAGGAGAAGGCCAGACGTACACAAGCCGAAGAAAAGGTGAGGAGAGGACCAACGGCGATGGTGGCGGCCCCGGGCGACGTGGCTCTAAGCCGGACACCAGTCCATGGCTGGGCCTGCTGCCTCCTCCTCCCTCCTTCCTCCTCCGCCACCACCACTAACTCCTCCTCTACCTTGCGCACCACCACCAACACCATCACCATCACCGTAACCAGCCCCACAGCCAGCAGCAGCAGCAGCAACGACGACAGCAGCTGCAGCAGCCCCCAGTGCACGCCCTCGTCCTGCTCTCTCCGCCATTACAATCCTACCCAACCCTTTCCTTCGTCCATGCTCTGCTCTGCTCTGTTCTGCTCTGTTCTGTTCCCTTCTTGTCCTGGCCTCTTCCTTCCGGGCCTTTCCCTTCCCGGCCACGACGCTCCTCCTCACCTTTCCCAGACTTTCCTTTCCCGGCATGGTCGCCCCGTTTCAAACTGCAGCGCTCACTGGCCGCTGCCACCACTTATCTTCGCTTCCCTTCCTTTTCCGCGCATTTTCGTATTTACGGTGTCATCGCGAGGTTGCAGATTGGAAATTTCTACATTGTGGTTCATATTTTTTCCGGCTTTTTTTCGTGCAGTTTATGAGGTTTATATTTTTCGTGGTCCGGGTGCGAACAATTGTATTCATTATTGAAGATTTTAATCGGAGTGTAATGTTTACTTTACATGGGTTTTGTACCGAGGAGTGTATCTAGCGTGCGTTTGTGAAACTGGGGATTTTGATCCGATTTGTCTCTTTTTTGTTCGGTTAAAGAGGAACCGGGGGATGTCTTTTTACATGACCGAGCGAATATACATCGCTCTTTCGCAATTGCTTACAGCCGTAAGATCATATTCGGGATATCTTCTTGCTTTTAAAGGTGGTTTTGAGGTTCAAACCTTCGCTTTTTGCCAATATTTTATTGTTTTCCGTGGCGGTTGTATTCTAACTATCCTCCCTTTGCTAGTGAAGCTATTAGACGCACCAACCATCTCCATTCTGTCTTCTTCTTCTTTTTTTCTTGCAATTTTTCTGATGACACATCAGCGTAGTTCCATATCTGAGGTGTTTTACATACTACAATCGGATGTTATTCTGGAATTTCCAAAGAAGATTCTTGGCTTTTTCAGACGCATTTTCAACTCTGTAGGAAACACAGGTTTACTCGAGGGTGGTGTTCATTCAGTTTCTTGATGTACCTCCCCTCCCTCCTGCATTTAGTGCCATTACAACACGAGATGAAATCTCCATTTCTTCACGTACATTTCAATGAGTATACAAATTGATACACCTTTTGTCCATTTCTCCTAAGTTAGTAACGTCTCCTGGTGGAAGATAATGAACAAAGAGCTGATAATTGTGAAAATCAGCACTCCACTACTAGGTTATCATTCAAAACAATTCCATGTGAAGTATTCAATTTACTAAAAACACCACATTAACAAAAACAACCTCTTCTCTACAAAAATAGGGGCCACGCCTTGGCTCTTGTGAACCACTTCATCATGGAAAACCGTTCAAACTGAATAACTTTTATGTTACAAGTAATGTGAAATTCAAATAAAATCTTCACATATTTCACATTTCAAGATATAAGTTTAAATGATCTAGAACTTGAGAACAAAATTTGGTCACATCAAGATTTTCTGGCTCAATAAACATACCCCAAAAATGAGCCTGATCAGTCTGATTCTTACATTAAATTATTGCAACTTAATTTTTAAAAAATATATGCATCATGTATTTATATAAAAAATTATTGTAATACAAAATTTAAAAATATAAGTGAATTTATTATTAAATATTATATATATTTTCACAATTTCTATAATATAATTTAAAATAAATTTTATTACTGATTTTCGAAATTTCATCAAGTATCATTTAAATCTAACAGAATAAAATCTCATTGTGTTCTTTATTTGTGTCGTACATTTATATTTAATTGATGTGATAAAGTGTGGATCCATTACTGAAATAATCAGAAATTAAATATAAATAAGTGCACTAAAAGCATATGAGTATTTAATAAGATATATGATATATATAATGATACAATAATTACTGAATTTAAAATAAACAATAATTAGCATCAAGTACTAATCAATCTATACTAAAACATAGACTACATTATTCATATACTGTTTATTCATTCTAATTCAATCTCAGAATAGCATTCAACAAATATTTTGTTTTATAGACAGAATTTCACATGTTGATAATTTCGTTTGATATAAAACTATAATACATTTTTTGGTGATTTACATTATATTCATTTATGATCCTACAAAATTTATGAATTTTTGTACACTTTAAAATTTATAATATTGATATTAAATTCGCGCTAAATTTTAATCTCTCTCTAAAATTTAAAAATACCATATTGAAAACAATTTATTGGTAATTTCACATGTTTAAATATTTTCAATACAAAAAAATGAAGTCATACAAAAGTAAGAAGATCCATCTATGATTAGGTTGGTTTTGAAAAAAATAATTTATCTTGAAAATTATATTTTAAATTAAATTTAGTGCAATTGAATACATATTATATTATTCAAGAAATAAAATTATTATTAATATAAATTAATATAAATTATTAAATTTTATGAATCTTGAATTCTTTATTTTATCTTTTTATATAAGTTTGTATTATGATTTAACCTCCCAATGAGAAAGATTTCATGTTTTATAAGATTATTGCTAATTCAATTGAATTCATTCTATTTAAATCAAATATGGGTATGTATCGTACGGCAGAGTTAAACAACACTTCCAGCATTGTTATATCTATTTATGTATAAGAAATATGTCTCATCATGTCAATATGCGTGACGCCAAATGTTTAGGTGAATCGGATATATATGAGACCAACAATGCTGACACTTTAATTTTAGAATATAAAGTAATCATCACATGTGTGCGTTTGCAAGGTTACTATTACCGTACTTGAACCTTTTTATCTTTTTGTTTCAATGTCTTCATAGTGTAGACGGTAAGAAGATATACTCTGCAAATATAATAAAATTACAAAAACTTACACTGAAGTTCTTGCTATATTTTTTTAAAGCATGAGGGTTTAAATTTTGAAATGTAGTGCATGTACAAAGATACCATTATATGTAAATTGGCGTCTATTAAAATGCAGTTAGCACATTCTCTTTGAATCCAGTGTTTTATAATCCAAGAGATCTGCCTGCTTAGAATGGTTACGCCTCCCATTCTAACATCAGTTATTTTGATCTTAATACGTATATTTTGACAAGGAAAATAATAATTTCAATTTCGAACCAAATTCGAGTACTCCAAGATATGATGTGTGAAATAAAGTTATTCATTGGTATCCCTTTTGCAAACCAATATATTTCGCAATTATCGTTCACAGTTTTCTTTTATCGGTCTCTTTCATATAGCTATGTATAAAATAACCATTTTGGATTCAAACGTAAATAATATTCCAAACAGGAGTTTTTTAGTTTTAAATCCTTACAATTGTTAGTTCATTTTATACTGAAAAGTAAAGATACGTTGATACAACTCTTGTAATCATAGGCGTAGTAAATCTACGTAGACTTATGAAAGATATGAAGTTAGTTTTCTTCAAAATACACACTTTCAACGATTAATGAGGTTTGTGCTGGACCAAATCTTCTGGTATCACAAGAATGACATGAGCTCTCAATCACCTGCCATCCTTATCTCAGATGCGCATGATGTTTGCTTTCAGTCCGCTTACTGTACACAGCTTAGTTTGCAAAATAAAAAATAAAATCACAAAATATTATAGTTTGAATCTAAATCAACAATTTTATGAGTTTGAATTATAACATGTACAGTTGACACTTACAATTTCGCAAGGACCAGATAATGTGTTATCGCATAATCAAAGTGAACGGGTTTCAAATCATCTTCGAAATTGACTAGAAAGAAATTCAAGCTTGTCTTGGACAGAAATATGTTATCATCATATAATGTATATGTACAAGTAAGTGGAAATGGATATGAATTCATATATGATTCAAATAGAATTAAATGGTTATAAGTAAACTTCTTTGACTTCATCAGCATTATTCCTCAAAATTGAATAAAAAAAAGATAAAATGGTATAATAACTATATCTATATTCAAATACATGATTACATTTGAGTTACATAATATACACGTGGAAGAGAAATCGACAAAGTACAGTAATCCTCACGCAGTCGGTAGATGCAGAGAACCGATAGAGTAGGTAACGATGAACACCAAACCTGTCCTAACAAGTCACTTCAGCCGCATTGTCATTCTCAAGCAAAAGCTGCCGGGAAGTTTACGCCTCGTCAAAGCAGCCTGCCGGCGAGATGGGCGAAACCCTGCCGATCCGGCGAGAAACATCCTTGTGGACGGAGGTCGCCGGAAGCGGAGCACACCTCGAACATTCCGTCGCGGCGCAGGAGACCGACGGCACGGTGGGAGCGCGCGTCGCAGGGAGACGCTGACCGACTGACCGACTGCTGCACGGCAGGAGTCAACCGCATGTCCGGGGTCGAGCATTGAGTGGCTGAAAGTGCCGCCGAAAGGGTTTGAGAGGTTTATCTTGCGCTCGACACCTCGGGCCGAATCGGAGCACATGGGCGGGGCACGCGGGCAGCGGCGCGAGTGGGAATCGGTGCGCGATGCGGGTCGGCAGATCTTCTCCACAATTCGTGCGATGTGATTGGGGAGCAAACCGTTCTCGAGCGAATCAGCATGATGCAAATCTGAAGCCACGGTGAGTGGACGTGAGCCTCGCCCCAACATCACAGCACTTGCCGTCCAGTGTCTTCTCGGCAGAATCTTCGCAATCACACCTCCGCTCTCTCGCGCAATAAAGAATGCGTAGACGGCGATTCTGTGACCCGTCGGAGAGTTTTTGGTCGATGGTTTGACAGTCCCCAAGTCCCATGTCGTAAATTCCATCCTCTCCCATTGGCAGGGAATCTCTCGCATGGTGCGAGAAGATGCGGAGTTTTGATCAAATTCCTGGAAAGGGTTGGTTTGTTTTTGGACGCTGATGAACCCGAGATGCAGGCTGGATAGGGTTAGTTATGAAAACCGCAAAGCATTTCTCAATGTGGAGGTTAGAAGTGGTGATATTGAAGTTCGCGCGGAGGGGTGAGAGAAATTTGTGTTCCTGTCTTTTCACCTTATGGAGCAACAAAAGCCATATTTTTTTAATAGTTGAGCTGTTTTTTTCCTCAACTTGTTACTTCTCATCGACCAATAGTTTTCATGGGAAAATTTTGTATTCAGCGAGAAAACAACATGCCAGCTACTTTATATGTTTCACCAAACGACTTCCATTCAACTTTCATTCCTAAAATATTTATTTTCCACGAACAGTGTTTGGATTTCCATATACTTCTCCTTATGGAAATTTGTTGACAGTTTGAAGAGAGAAATTGAGGATTGAAATTGAAAACACAATTGAAAGGACCATTGAAAGGTAAGAACGAAGAGGTATGGTAAGCTGATTAAAAACTTAACATTACGGGAATCTATTGAGTTTTTTTGACAAGTCATGATGTTTGCTCTTCTCGTCCTATATTTCGTGAAACACCTATTCGATTTTATTTTCTGGAAGAATGATAACTGCTCGCGACATCGAATCTATGGTAAGATCAAAGTCAGGGCCGGTCATGGGTGATCTGGGTTACATAGACTACAAGAGTTGGTATGACGGGTTCGCTCCGCCGAAACCTGCCAGGGAAAACATTTGGTGGCGTGTGAGTGGATGGAGACGGCAGAATCAGGGAGAAAAGTACCAAGACTCCAGAGCTAGCTCGCCCTGCTTGCCAATGAATGTTCGTATCTAGCTTTAATGGGCTGCGGATGGATTCCCTTCTTGGCCCAGCAGCCTGAGCTCCGAGCTCAGAACGGACCAGAGCCAGGTCTGTGGTCCAGGAGACCGACCACTCTATGGAATCCCCAATATTTGAGTTAGATATGCATCGGCAAATGAAAAAAGGAGCGGGGTCAAGTAATAAAGATATGCGTCGGCAAATTGGAATCCGGCGTTGCTCTGAATGATCATTTTGAATGTTTGGCGGGCACTGACATCATAAATACAGCCTGCCAGCTTTTTGCACACGGTTGTCACTAGCACAACCCTTCTACTTCTGTGGCACTGGCTCACGATTCCTTGCTTCGTTCCTTCTCCTCACGAGGGTACGATCTCGACCCTGGTCCAGCCCATGACATTCACCGAATCCGTCTCATTAGCAGTTCGCTCTCCACGACATCAAGGACATCATGAACCGAGAGATCTCATAGGTAACATGAACGAAGGACGATGGCAGTAATTGGGAGAGCGAGAATGAACAACGTTGACGAGACGGTAATGCTGTAAGCATGACAAGCAGCTGGCCTCAGACTCTTAGCACAAAAGCAGAAGACCGGTGTCTGATATCTGGATTAAAATATGCTTAACAAGCTCAAATTTGCCTTCGTGTCAATTGATGATGACGAAAGGGCTCGTGCTGTCGTGCAGGGCCTTGCTTCAAGTAACTGGCCGGTTTGCAAGTGAACGCGACGACAGTCGGTTGACGTGTGTGAGGCTATGCCTTTTAATAGATAAAGCTTGAAATGTTCTATTTAAGTCGCCTGGAGAGACATCATGATTGCTTTTCAGAGAGTAGATTATATTACATTATAATCCCAGAAGTATAAGGTTAAGGATGTTTTTCCGCCCATTGACATTTGCTGTGTCACTTACAGATTTCCATCTGCAAGGTCTGATTGTTCAAATCGCCTCCCTCCCCACTTTCCCTTACGCTTCTTTCTTTACCTTTATTTGAGACTTTCACCTACAGCTGTTGGTGCATTATGATCTCCTGAGCACACGGCCCCATTGGACCCCATCCATCACATCTGCTTCTGATCTTTCCCTTAATCTAGTCAGTCTTCCTGCTCCGGAGCATTCGTGCCTCATCTAACGCCCTTCGCCTTCGCCTCACGCTTCTTTCTTTATCTTTCTCTGAGGATTTCACGTACAGCTGTTTCCATAGTCAGATCTCCCCAGAGCACGGCACAGTTAGACCTCATCCATCCCATCTGTTTCTGATCTTTCCCAATAATCTAGTCAGTCTTCCTGTTCCAAAGCACTCGTGCCAAATCTCGCGTCCTCGATTTTTTTCACTTACACATGCGATAATCCTTGCAGGCCCAGCGACATCAATCCCAACAATCAACTTCTGAGGGCAGAATATAGTCTCTTGTTATCTTGTGACGAGTATCGGATCGATGCACATCCGTGCTATTTTTCGTGCATGCGGGGAAAATGTTAAAGACATTGATGTGTTTAACAAACGCATCATGCCGCCATATTATTTAGTAGGAGGATGGAAATCAAGTTGTGGTGATAGAGAGGACCACATCTCATTTCACCGAATGAGGAGAATGATGGATGGCACTTGAAAGTATGTGCTGCGAGATGAGCGCAGTGAATGCTCATGTCCTTCGGGGGGGGGGGGGGGGGTGCATGAATGAATGGGTGCACAGTCATCTCTTCCAACACTTTTATATAATGAACTGAAACACGGCCTGGACAGCCACGACATCCTTCAATCAATCAGTGAGAACCACCATGTGAACAGAACCCGAGTGATGTGTAATCGTTATATCCTCAGCTCTCCTATCATTTCTTTTCATTTCGTCTGAATGTGCGTGGTCTTGTCTGGAAGTCTTACTCGTACGAAACTGTAGCGCCGCGGACCGAGCGGTTTGTTCTTTTCGTATCATCAGCAGGAACATCTGCATTTGGATGGGATTGGTGCTGTCTTCAGCTGTCAGAATATTGCAACTCCTTGCTCCGGAATCTCAAGAACCTGCAAGCGTCAAGTTCAGGTAATCTACGCCTTCGACAAACCGTACATGACTCAGCATTACCATCAAGTTTAGTGGCTGATTTCTTCCTCTGCTCGTGATTATATTCTCTCCATCACATGGGCCATCACGACTTCCCCTCCCGAGTCAATGAACTAGAAACAGAACCACCGCCTTGTAGTTTTGTTGATCAGCCTTGTTAGACAGAAGTTTATGTTCTTGACCACATGCTAATCGTTTTCTTAACATTAGCTCAATGAAAGAAAACTAGGTTAAATTTTAGTTGTCTTCGAGACTGGAACAGACACGAGACAGGTTGTGTACCCCTAAACCCTTAACTAAACCCTTAAGTGGGTTCCTCAGTACTTGATTCTGAAGTTGATGAGAGAATTGCACACTTACCTTTAACAATGATGTGGGATGGACTTTATGGTACCTACTTTCCACTGTCTTCAACAAATGTATGTAGAAGCTGATTTCCCTCCATTGACTACAAGTTAGAGACTGCTATCATAGCACTACGAAGTTTTCCTCCCAAGACTGGTGGTAAAAGTCAGGGCATTCACAATCATGTGGTCAATGTAATCACTAGAGGACGTCAAAATGCAGGAAAGGTTTCTCTTTTTGTACGGGACACCGGGTAATACAGCAAAAAGGATGGGACAACCCCCATCAAGCCGTACAGGGAAACCAAACGGGTAGCATGAGCTAGGCCCCAATAGCACCACAATCGAAAATATGTCTGACCGACTTCAAGCCCGGGATTTGACCCTAACGACTTATCTTCTTGGCAAAAACAGATAAGGGTGAACAGCAAGGGGTCCCTGTAATCCTCTTTTTCCACGTTGAACTCGTTGGGTTGTGAAAGAATATCAGTTTTCGAGAAATTTTATTGAGGCTGCTGATATTGCTCCAGTTCAGACGGTCAATAAATCCAGATGCTGAGAGCAATGTGGCTGTGGCTCGAGCACAACGGCGGCTTCTGTCCACTCTATGAACACTTCGTGGATGGAGCCAAAGTTCATGCATAAAAAATGCGCACTTTGCGTGTGGCTGGGGCTCGTGGCCACGTGGACAGCCCAAAGTAGGCGCACCCTTTGGATGTTGGAAAGATGTCAAGCACCCAGTTCTACGGAGGCTGGCTGCCTGGGGCACTCCATTGCTCTCGCAGATCCATCAAAACCTCCGCTTTCTTGCCTTCACTCTCACTCTCAATCAGAAAGTGAGAGCTACTCTCTGCTCCCTTTAGGATCAAACAACGGACGTCTTTCCACCAATGTTCCGTTGAGTTCAATTCAGTCCAGTCCACCTCTTTTCAGTTAAGTTCATTACATGCTACTGCGCCAATGACCCCACATAAGATGCAGGAGAGGCACTCAATCATCCGGTTTTGATCTTGCGATCATGACACTGCGAAATGGGCCACTGAGAGAACAACGTGGCGATGTGTAGTAGGGTGGAGGAGAATCACGCAAAAAATACCTTGTGATTATGAAGTGTGCTTGTCCACATTTGGCACATGACGGTGTCGCCTAAGGGATACTTCTGACAAAGAGGGATCGAATGCACGTGAATGAGACACGACAAGTGAAGGCGAACTGATTCCGGACATCCATGCGATAGTTGTAGGCTAAGAAACGTGAAGTGTAGACCATACAATCTCTGTTGTCCGTTCTGTGCTCGCCATTCATGGCGTAGTCGGCTGACACGAGACAGAGTCTGTAGAGCGTGCACTAGGAATGTTCTCCGAGCTTGCTCGCCTGTTCTCCAAGCAATCCACTCCATCGTGTTGCCTTTTTCCGAACTCGGGGGCTGGCAAACTTATCCAATTTGATAACAGTGTTTGAAAAACTGGGTAAGCAGTACAGAATGCGACCATTGTCATGCTCATGAGCAAGTTTGTCTGAATGTTGGACGCATGAGGCATTTGCAACGCGATGAGCTTTGTAAATAGTTGTTTGCAGAAGTAATACAGGACAATAAGACATTTCGTTGGGCGTGGGTGAAGTGCAATCGAAATGTCTTAAACTGGCCCAATGAGGAACATTCCCATAAAAAACTGTATGACTGGAGAACTGACAGTCGCAGAAAGACACCAAAGGCAGCACAATACAATGTCTCAGAAACTTCTCAAAATACACAATTTTGCATGATTTGCAAAAGCTCATTTTCTGTATTACAAATGTGGTTGGCATGACATTTCAAACTTATGAGGTTTTCTTTTCAGAAATATGTTCGAGATGGAAATGGCTTACTCGAGACGCCAATGGGCTCTGCCTGTTCTAAAGACAAGCTCACAGAACTGACCTAAAATATGAGGAGTGAAATCAGCTAGGGTCATGAAACAGAACCATGAGGGGTTGAATAAAAGGTCCAGAATGTCGACCATCAATCCAGCATAAGTTGCATATAAAGAGATAAAAGAATGTGCTTCGGAAGCACGCCGTCCGCTGATAGCTTTACAATGCGAAGTAAGAGACGACGGCAATACAGCTTTAGTTCCCCCTACATAGTAAGGACGGGTGCCCAAGAATCTGCTTAACCTAACGTACAAATTTTTACTTACAAAGCATGGTCTTCGGAACCATTATGCTCACCATCCTCCGCTCACGGAGCCATGCATGCAGGACGTATCACTACCTTTCCGGTCCTCTGAAGGACATCCAGGATGAATGAATTTCCCCTCTCGACTTCAATTCTGGTCGGAATATCAGCTCCCCGTCAGTGCTAAAAACTCCAGCTCGCACCTCAGTACTTCAACGGTGTTGTTGAAGTATATCATTGCAGTATTTTTTGAACTTATCGCACTCATCAAGGGCAAACTCGCTGCGCAGATCGAAGATAAAAAGAGGTGCGTAAATATAAGAGAAAAGTGGGCTGGAGGCCGAAACACAATAATCTCGATCAAAAACTCACACGAAGAGCTCACGTACAATATGCGTTGGGCCATATGACTAGGCTCCCATCGAGGACTCCAAGGGTATTCAGTGTAAGGTCGAGACATGATCGGTCTCCCCCTCGCATCAAAATGCTGTTCCCACATTGTCGAACAGTAGGATGATGTTAGTCCCACTGCGAAGAGAATATTCATCAATTCAACAGGTTTGAGATCCTTGATCCAAGGGTTTATATATACTTAAGACATTGCATCAAGACCTACCAACAAAAATCCTAAACCATCATTTCCTACATTATTCTCACAAGAAGTTGTAAACTAGTAATCGGGCAAGCGTAATCTTTTTGCCACAGAAAACTTCAGGGCAGGGTCATCTGAACCACAAATTCACATCACCGCCTGCTTTATGTATTCAAGACCATAGATACGATATGCTTTCATCTATAACTTTTACCTGAGAACTTTGGAACGTGAGGGTAGGCTGTTGTTTGGGAAACTGAGTTGGCAGCGAGAAGTGAATCTGCATCGTGATAACGTTGGTTACTGATATTTACATCAGATCATAGATTATCAACAGTACTTCCAAGACTACTCGAACATGTAAACAAAAGGTCCCAATGCTCATTGCAAAATCAGCTGATGATGATGACTTGTATTTTTTACTCTTTTCAACGCTTTGAAGACATATATTTGCCAATAAACCGTCAGATATTTTGCTTACCAGGAAGCAGAATAGTCCAGACGTAACCATGATAGATACTCTTCGAAAAAGGTTCTGCACATGGAGCCAAAATGTAGAACTTAGGCATTGCACACACAGCCAAAACTTGGTCACATGGTATGGTAGTATAAAGCATATGAATCTGGTAGACGCACTCTCCTGCACAAGAAGTCTTGCTTCTCTTATCTCAACCTTCAAGCCGATACGAGGCAGGCAGAAATGAGATCACTTTTCGTATCAAGAGTCATACATACCGTTTCCAACTCAAGAGGCCTGCCAAAAACTGGTCCCAGTGCTTCTAGGAAACTTCTCCTCATGCCAACTGAGGTGATGGCCTCACGGACCTGCATACGTGATAACCACTAGATGAGAACATTTGATCTTGACAGATGTTGGAAATACTCCACATGAACTTCCAATCTTTGAAGAAAGGTCTTAAACGCACGTACACGATGTAGTGACCAAACGATGATGTTCGAAGATAGGTGAAAAGTAAGAGAACATGAACTGAAAGACGACGGAAAAAATGGATAAAAAAAAGGAAACAAACAGGACGCATAACGAGTGGCTGCTATCGATAGTTGAAATGTACAGCTTGAACTATGTGGTTAAGGCTATTTTCCAGAGACACAGAGCAACAAAAACACTTCAATGAGACACACTTCTATGAAAATGGCTCTGTATTCCAAAAGATGCATAAGGCACTAGCACAAGTCTCAATTTGCGAATAAAATTGATAGCCTACTCATGCTGGAACGAGATATAATTCACTTCCAGTACTGTAAATCACACCTGAGCTTTTAGAATATCCTGCACATTTGGAACGTACTCCATCAAGCACCTACAATAAAAAACCGAAAAAATATTCAACGATAATATTCATTTCCTATTGGAAACATAATGTAAATGTGCTGTTGAAGTCAAATTCGACAGTGCGTGAATCTTCAGATGAGAGACAACACGATGCATGTCTTCTTTACTATCCTCTAGACTTCTGAATCCATTTGCTAGTCATCACCAGTTCTAATTTGACCTTTGGATCTCTACGACAAGCAACACTGAACCTCTAACAAAATCGCGGTCTGTTTGAGAAATTACCGAAGCATCTTCACGGGTTTCTTATCAGTACACAATCCAAGACCAATGACGTGCATAAAACCTACGAGAAGAAGATCAATAGACTCCATGCGTGGGTAGCCAATGTATGGTGCTATTGTTGTTTTCTTGTCACAGTAGCTTCGCAAACAAATGGCAAGATGGAGAACTTTCAAGTCAATAGGGCAGGACTTATATATAAAACTATCACGTTCTTATGTTTAGAAAAATGGTGAGCCTTCTTTAAGACAATCACAAGTAAGGAACATTCACAGTTACACAGGTGAAGTAAAAAGTTAGCACGGGTCTGATATGCATCAAGACCAAAACGTGAGAGCAGAAAGATCCCAACTATGATATTATGGTATATGTGCTGCGCTTAGAGCAATACTATGTTCGATGGACACTCTGGAGATTAAAAAAAAGGCAGATAAAATATAAGAGGTGGGTAATACGTAGTGATGAGAGGTCCGAGAGCTCTAAGAGGACGTATTCAAGGGTACAGCGTTTACCACACTTAACAACAGACCCTTCCTTGTGGCTCACCACCACAAGCCAAAAAAGCCGGGTCATCACATCTTGCTGATGACCATCACATTACGCTATTTCAAGCTGGGCTTCTCATGGTTCGCTCGCCGCTACTGGGGAAATCCTTGTTAGTTTCTTTTCCTCCTCTTAGTGATATGCTTAAACTCAGAGGGGGGTTTTCCTGATCTGAGGTCAAGGCGGTGCTCAAAGGAGGGGGAGTGTAGCCCCGCTCTATCTCGCACGTTTCCTGCTATTCCCGTCGAGGCGCCAAGAGGCAGCCGAAAGGACAACACCTCAAGCCAAATAACCATACATATGATTTCCAAATGTCTTCTTGCTTGTGGCGTGGGAAAGTTAGCAGCTTAAATAAACCGAGTCACCACAACGTGCTGATGAACACCAAATTGCAGACACATGAGCTGTTCATTCTCCCACACTGTAAGCAAGCAGACATTCGAAAAATCAACTGGGTGTGCACCATATGTTGATGACAAACACATTTTCAGCCACATGAGCGGATCATTGTATTTGCTCTCATGTGTTTGCTCTTGCAGGCGTTATTTGTCCGAGTGGTGAAAGAACACATGGACAACTTATTCTCCTGCTCAGAAAGGCAGCGTATAACTCATCCCAGTGACGGTACATGTAGAACACTAATTTTCTTTATGAAAAATCTCCACTAAGTAGACCTAAGTGTATATCAATATCAAAACCCTTCACCCAAATGATTCGGTGATTACCACTGTTTGTATAAAAGTGCCTGACAGAGATAATCTCTGGTCCTTGCTTGCTCTACTGCTGTTACGACTCATCTCTTCTTCAGAGATGCTGAAGGCTTGTCAGCATGCTCATCAATCGAAGATTAAGGACACTCAAGAACTTCAATTATATCCAGTGTGGAGGCAGTCGGAGTACATAATTCAAGTTAAAATGACATCTCTCTTGGAGGATACTCGATCAGGAAAGTAACCTCTGCACTTCTCAAACATACAGCCAGTGGGAGTAGATCGAGACTCTTACATTCGATCTGCCCATGTTGGAAGCTTAACATCCTCCACATCAAAGACATCCCTCATAGCTGGGGGAGCATGTAGTCTCAGTTGTGGTGCTTTTTCTCCCGTAAATGTTTGTCCCCTTTGGAGAGAAAATGCCACCTGCACATTTTGGCACGACAATCTGCGATCTATATAATTCAACAAAAAGAATACAGCATCACTTCAGGGGAGCATGAAAGCACAATCATACTGAAGCATGCCATTTGTGTTGCGGCCAAAGTCGTACTCTCTAGCTAGCACTTGAATGAGTTACTTCCAAAATTGTACTTAAACTCAAAAGATGTACCAGTTGTACAGGAGGCATCTCTACTCACTTGCAGCGATATACCGCTCCATAGTTTCGCTGAAGAAGTTCCTAAGCGTCTTGATATTTGAGTGAGATCGATGTCCAAGGGAATGGCGAATTGAACTTCTTCTGACTGTGAAGAAACAGTAAAAATCACCTCACGCTGAAAATAACGGTAAAAGTACATACTTGGAAAGGATATTGTCATTGCAAAATCTGATTAGAAAATCAAATTAAAATGGTCATGCAATAGACAGAGCATTTGTAAAATCTTCAAAAAGCCAGCTTCGACCAGCGCCTTACCCTATCTGCTCCTGTGAAAATCCGCATCTCCAGGCCCTGTAGGGAGATACAGCAAACCGCACCAACAACACAGATTCGTCATCCCTTTCTTGCTGCAAAATGAATCAGCACCAAAAAAACGGAGAAGCTCATAGTCAAGTGACTTTTACTGCTAGTCTGGAATTTACTTGATTCAGAAACTACTAATAGCTGATGAATATACTAAAGCGTACAACATTGCTTCTCTGTCTTCAGACAGCATACTAAACTACACAGAATGACTTCGATTTTGGAACACAAATCAAGACTTGAGGTGGGAAGAGCCAGAGGTTCAGCTAACCTCCATAGCGCTAATGGTTCCAATCTCGAATCTGACTCGAGGGTCCTCTACAAACTCCACCCGCTTTCTTTGATGACGCAAGTAGAGCGATCTGTCAAACAGTCCGATGATCACTATTCATTGCTCTTTCTTCTAGGAACATTCTTTTCTAGAAAACAAATGATCTCTATACCAGGCAAAGAGGCTGGACAAGAGAGCACTGAGAATTCTCACAAGCGAAACACAAGTTTGGCACCTTAATTCCAAAAGAAAGCGTAGTAATCTTGAGTAATCCTTTGCTGTCCAATCGCGCAAGATAGTCCAGGCACCGAGTGCAGCTGCCTGAGCTGCTGCATTATCGTCTCCCACAAACAGAAGAGGCTGAAAGTCTTGATCATCGGCTCCAAAAACAACATCTGGGGGTAAATCTGGCGTCTGATAATTGTATACAACGTCCCCTGAGACAGATTTAAGTCATTGAGATAAGAAAAACGTCCAGTTCCAGTTGTCAACTCCAGCAAGTAGTCTTGTAGTTTGCTCTTATTTGTACAGTAGGAGAATCATAACCTAACTGGAACATACTGCCTTCACATGTAAAGCAGGGATGAGATAGAGATCCAGTCCTGCCTGAACAGCCCCGACAAGTTTATGTCATTCCCAAAGGACATCTAGCTGTGAGGCTTTTGTTACACACAAGAGATTGACATGCTACTGAAATTCACGACGATACAGCGGTCTATAATCTGAAGGCTGGCTTTTCGCTTAAAGGATGCTCTCAGCTTACCACCAGTTGCAAGATACTCGGAAAAGAGCAATCTTTTAAATAATGGAGACAAATATAGGGGTAGCATGAACAATCCAAAAGCGAAAATTCACAAAGAGAAAGAACATTCCGGACTGACTTACATTTGATATGATCGAGACAGCAAGGAATACATGCAGTGAAACGATCGGCATAGGGCGCATTGTGATGCCCTCTACGAATGTGCTCTATCTGCGTGGCAAAATCTAACGAAATTTCAACACTTGATACACGAAGAATTGTCTTCAAAACCTCCAAAATTCCCGAACTGACACCACGGCCGACTTTCAACTGCCGACCCTCTATCTGAAAAAAATTCTCCACTCACAAAAGTAGCTAAGCTGAAAAGAGAAAAAAGAAAAAAACTTCAGCCACACTCTCCGAACGCCACCAATTGCCGGCAATCTCACAAGAAATCAAGCATTCTACCAAAATCAGAGTCGCAATCAAATTCACAACGACATACCCGGATAGGCACAGGTGAGTAAGTCCTGAGATATTCCAGCTGCGGTACCAGAGCCGGCATGATCGGCACACCCTTACTGGTGCTCCCCATCCTTGCCGTCTCTTACACCCCGGCAGGAAAGCTCCGGGATTTCCAACTCTCTTGTCCACGCCCCGTGCCTGCCTCTCGTTCCACCGAGTCCGAATGCCTCCCGAACACCTAATTCCGACCCCGACGAGTCCTCGGAAAATTTCACCTCGCGTCCCGACAGACTGCTGCTCCTGCTGCTGCTGCTGCTGGGACTCGCTCAAATCGACTCATGCTCTCGAATCGACCCCGTCCGGCGCATTCTTCCTCCCAAGGACAAAAGAGGAAGAAGAAAATTCAGACAAATCAGAGACGCGGAACCAATTTTCGCTCGCTGCTTGTTTCGGGGAGTTTTCCTCCCTTCGTTCCCGCTGGCAGAATCGCGAGGTGGCGAGCAGTGGCAGCCCGGAGACGAGAGGGGGAAGAGAAGGACAGGCGGACACACAGCGCACGAAAGGGACGGGACCAAACAGCACCGGCCAGGCAGGGCCAGGGCCAGGGACCGGACAGGCAACGGGAGCAGAACACGCTGGAGGCAGGCAGGCAGGCAGGCAGGCAGAGCCGCTGAAGCTGGCGTCTCGGCTAAACTGGAAAAGTCGGAGACTTGGGATTCACAGTTCTCTCTCGTCCCCGCAGGCGAGAGCACGGCCGGTGACTGTCCCTCGATTCGTCGATCCCATGGCTTTGTGGACTCGACCGATTGTCGTCTTTGTTCCCGGCCGGGACAGGGTCAGGGACAGGGACAGAGAGAGCGACAGGGCGGCCGAGCGCAGGACAGTTTACTCTAGTTTCTTCTCCTTCGGCTCCTTCTTTCTCTCTCTCGTTTTACCTCCTGCTCGCTGCCCGTTTGACTCTTGTTCGTTGTTCCCGTTGTTGCCCGGCATTCCACTCCAAACTTGTGGAACACACTTGATTGTAAAGACTTGGACAAGTTTACAAATATGTGATTAGAGCATCGTCTATTTAGATGACTTGTCCCATTTCTCAGCCATTGAAGCTCTAATGTTTTGACACATAGACTGGAATAGTTGTGAATGTTTTTTAAACCAGCAGGTCTTTAGAGAGTATAAAATGCCTTGATCGTGAATGAGATAGATTGCTTTGGAATTTTTCATAATCGGATTGACTATGTGAGGTTATGGTTTCGAGATTCTCTTGCAATTGCTGAAACTCACCTGAGAGTTGGAAAAGTGTGTCCGGTGGTTATGAAATTGGGCGATCAATGAACTAACCCATCTGTAGAGTAATATAAAATCTATGTATTTTAGCTTTGGCAGTGATCTATTTAGATAATGCGGGTTTAGCTCCAAATCGTTTCATGGTGAGAATTATATTAGATTATACCTAAAACTATTCAAATCTTCATATGTATGGATAACGAGTATGTTCAAGAATCATCAAAAGATATTGTTGTCCATATATACAATTTATTACTCTTCATATATGGATAGATGAATGAAAACAATGATTGAACTGCTAAGTACAACTGGTACGATAGTCTCTCACGCACTATACCAACTATAAGTACCACACTCTATAAACATCTGTAAGTCAAATGTCATATGGACAAGAAGATTCTTGTGCATCCTTCACCTTCACTACGCAAGAACTCAAAGTTCATGATGATTTTTATTCATCATGGTGGAAGCCATCTCGAAGATCACAATCTATCCATGGAGATGATATGTAAGGTGTTATGTTATGTCCAAACGTATATCTTTAGTCAAGAGTTAATGGCCTCTAGATCTCTTGGATTCAAGCTTGGGTTTCATATATTCCAAGTTCTAACCTAACCATTGCCTCATATCCCATTGTATGTTAGCATCCTCATTGCAAAGCCTGTCTTGGCCAAGAAACCATTATCTACTATAAACTTGTCTGTTAACATACCTTTTTCCCTGAAAATACCTTTTTCCTTTGCTTCAGTTGCCTGATACCTTTCATCATTCTTACTGTTGTTAAACATGCCCCTTATGAACCAGAGGTCTGGAATGCCCTGGCTTCATACTCCATATCTAAAACCCATACCCTCTACTATTTGCTCCATTGTTCAGGTGTTACAACTTACTTGCCACCATATAGGAGTTTCGATACACATATGACACATGATCTTAACGTATTCGAGTGGATAGCAAAAAGATCGAGGACTGAACCATTCAAATTCCCCGTGAGCTTGAGAACGACGACGAGCCAGTCCAAATTGGAATCCAGGATTGTACAATGGAAATGTCTTGGTACCCATTTCCACCTACTGTTGTCGTAAATATTGACATCGACAGGCTTCAAAAAACAGCCACTACCGAACTCAAAATCAATCTCGAGGCATTACCGCTTAGAAACAGATAAGAAAGGTATATTTTGACGAAATAAGGTCTAATTTTTTACATCGAGAAGCCCGATAAATAAAAGCTCAGAAAACACATGGTACAGTTACGCTGGCTCAAGAGAAGACATACCCTCTCAGCAGAATAGTGTTGACATAAGCAGCTTAAAAATTAACTCTCCTCAACGAACAAATAATCAGTAATATACATAATCGTTGACTTCCCCTAAGTGGACTTTCAACCCGACCAAAAAATTATGTGCAACTCCATGTATGTCAACTAACACCTCGAGACGGATGGACCTTCAGATAGTTTACCCCCTGGAACCCCTGAAAAAGTTACCTCGTTAATTTACAGCCGAGACGGGAAGCTCAAAAGCAAGGGCCACACTTCTCAACAACAGCTTCCGCTCGTCAATTACCTTCAGGCTGAGGGAATAATCAATTCCTCTTCTGAAATAATTCACCACCAACGACCAAGACTGTGATCCTAGCTTCCCTCAGCCATTTTCTTCGAGTAGGTGTGCACTTCCTTGAACACCTCCCCAGCTTGTAAAAAAACAAAAATTCTAAGTACATCTTCTGCCCTTTAGCATGTCCAAATCTTCTTTCCTGAGTTGCTTATGATCGCAGTACCACTCCACCCGTAATTCTCCACCCTTTTTCTCCATGCTGGAATTCGTACCTCGTAGTGTACGTGCTCCTGTATGAATCCTTGTGCTCTGGGTTCTTATTATCGAATAGGCGTGCGGCTTCCTGCAAAGTTGCTTCCACAATTGCTCTTCTACCATCTTCGCTCACAGTCACGCTGTCGATGTTCAGACCCACAAGCCTGTACTCCCAAAACCAGCCGTTCCTTGCGACTTCATTCACACGGTCTGTCCAGCTATCAAGCATCTTTCCCTCCAAGACCTGCACATTTAAAAAAGTTCCACCTAAAATTCGTGTAATTGCACAAAGCCATAAACAAATATGAACTAAACCAAATTTTCGGCAACAGAAAAACGAACACACATTCAGTCTTATAGTATTTTACTCAAGGTCAGCTTACCTCCGACAGGTGCGAGACTGAATGGCTGGAGCCCAGAGCACGGGCTTTAGCCATTTGCCATTTACGGACCATCGCCTCTGCTAGTCTTGCGTCCATCTTGGTCACTTCCTTCACCTGCCGTTCCTCGACCACCCCTGAAAGTATCGATGAATGTCACTCTTTCTAACTTGCCTCGTTGTAATTTGGCCTAAACGACCACCCCTGTTTATATTAAAAATGACGGCAAGAACTCATATCCGTCAAATACACCTATTACAACCACAAAAAAGTTGAGAAGACCAAGCACATCCGTGGCAGAAATTAATTGTGGAAGCTGGTTGAATCAGACCTGATGAAACGGGAGACGTCGTAGCAGCTGGTGCGTTGGCGCCAAACTTAGAAGAACCAGACCACAAGGGCAATACCTTCAATCCAGTCATGACGAGAGCCCCAAAAACTATGCCAGAGCAGGCTATCTGAACTAATGACAAACCCTCCTGATCGACAGTCCGTGATGGCAGAGTCTTCCCTCCAGATGGATAACCATCATTCTCTTCTGTTTCACTCCATCCAGGAGCCCTTGGACTGGCCATGGTTGCTGATGGTACGAACCCTGACGGCGCTGACATATCAGAGCCGTCTACTTCACCTCCTATTCCACGATGGTACCCATATTGCTCATAATCTTTATCAGGTGAATCCGTATCCTGTTCAACCCCCAGGCTTAACGCACTGGTTGTGGTATTTTCCTTCACTTCTGCCCCTTTTCCGCGAGGAAATACTTTCTGCAATGTTTGTATGGCGCTTGCTTTGATACTGTCTAAGGCTGAACCAATTCTTGAAAGAGCTGTCGAAGATCCACCTGCTGTTGTCTCCCACTGTTCCAATATGGTTATGACCTCAGGATCATCATAGTAATCGCCAAGCCTAACTTGGGAGTTTTCTGTGTTTCGGAAGGTGGGAAAGACCACCTCTCCCAACCAGGTCTCCAAAAGTTTGCATAGACCAGGGAGCAAATCCCCATCCTCACTTCCCTGTGAATGAGCATACACAAACTCAATCACTGCGGGATCCCGGTACTGCTCTGAACCGTCTTGCAAACCTAAGCATGCCATGGACTGGTCAACCTCGCCCATCAAAAGCCAACACATAGCTCTCTCGAGACTATGATCCAATGGACTACCTGGCTCGCCATCTGATTCTAACGAAGCTTGCAACTGCCAAAACAGCTCATCCGCCTTGACAACATACACCGGTTTTTTCGCAGTAAAACCCTCCGCCACATGGGCAAGAGCAACTGCATAGACTTCGAAGCTCTCTGCTGGAACGTTGTCTGGAGTCGAATCCCACAATGCTACCTGATAGACCGTAAACAGGATGGCAGACACAGGTTATTATACACAGGACCATAGACAGGACACCGGACCAGAACTCACAATCTATAAAAGCAGGTTAAGGTTTGTGTCGAAACTCCGTCACACTAGTTTCTGTTGACAAGCGGCTTTCCTGACAGCAGACCGTTAAGGGACAAGCCACCTTGCTTTGAGGAACAGGAACCATAACCGCACCCAAGTCCTTTGACTAATGACACAAAAAAATCGTCAAATGATGTACCTAGATGAGTTCAGGAATAAATCGGAACCACGACTACTTTCGCGTGTTTCTAGAAAAGAACAGCCACACCTAGACCGAAGGTAACCATGGTTTAAAATGAGTGGAAATAGAGTAAAAGGTCAGGCCGAAGTATCAGAAAAGAAATTTGAGCAGATACAAACGAAGAAGTGACAGGAATTTTCATGAAACAAACACGAGATCATAAGATGCAGAAGGGGAAACGCTGTCGGACACGTTGCACGAGAGATGCAAGCATACGGGTTGAAAAACATTATTCCTGTTCAGAGCAAATTTTTAGAATAAGTCTCAGGGTCAAAACAGGAACGTTCTACAACGAGCGCAGGAAGGTTCTAACCCTTTGCACAATGACACCACAGGACAACAATTCTCGACAAGCAACCAAGAAAACTAGTACCTGCACAAACATACACAAGTACCTGTTCTGATGATGTCATGTAAGAGAAGGCATCTTTGATGAACTGCTCACGCGTAAAACCTCTGATAGGCGCGGAGACACCTCCCTCACCAACAGCCCATAAAATACTTCGCAAACCTTGCAGACCTTCTTCCCTCTGTGAGGTATGTTCCTTGTCTAAGGGAAAAGCGAGCAACTCCAAAACGCACCGAGGGGTTAACTCTTCTAATGTCTCTTCAATTTGTTCCTGCAATTCTGGTGCTAAACTACTTCCTCCTTCTTCCTGCAAGAGGCACTTACGAGATTTAGAAACAACAAAGCTACCTCTATCACCTAGAAGCAGTTACTCAGCCAACTCCACTGACTAGGTTTATCTTGGAATGCAAAATATGTTGATGTTTAATCTGATCACGTTCATACTGCTTGCAGAGAATCAAAGGACCAGATTAGATGACTTTTCTAGATGCAATTTCAAATGCAATGCAAAGATGCAATCAATCAATCCAGGAACGTGCAGCACAATCAGGAATTAAGTAACATGTCTTCAATGTTTTCATCCAGACATCCTGGCTCACGTCAAGCTTCATCCACAGTACCACATTGTGTTAGAGTGTTCACAAATTGACGGAAGTGAAACCTACGTATACGAGTAACGCTGAAAATATTCTGAAGTACACATTGCAGGAAAAAATTACGAGCGGTTCACCTTTGAATCTTAACACTTGCAACATTGACAGGTTTTCCTATACATAGCAGTACCCACTATAGAATGGCTTGACGTCGGGATACCACAACCACGATCTAAATAATGGAACAGAGGTAGATTACCACGTATTAACTGATAGTATGCAGAAGGGAGCGATCAGAGGTAAAGATAAAAGGATCAGTAAGTATTTTGAGCTACTTCGAGTATATAGATCACCATGTTTACCTGTAATAGCTTAAGCGCAGTCTCCAGGAGATCACAACTACGAACGACGGTTGGAACGGCTTCTGCCATCGCTTCACGAGAAAGCTCCACGTACGCCAGTGCCATAGCTAGCACAACGTCCCTTCGCATTGTCTTTGGCAATCGCTCCTCCAACAAAGATTGACCGGCCTGCAAAACTACCTCCATTTCCCCAACCTCCTGGAGAAGGCAGAGTGCACCTGACACCTGCAAATATACCTCAGATCATAAGTTTACATGCTGCTACAGTAAAAATTGACACGACAATATCTTAAGCCGCGAGGGCTCAAGAAACAAAAAGTTGGAAGTCGGTGCGGTTGAAAGAAGAGAGTCTACACCTTACTCCAAGGAACGTCCACCACCAAGGTACCAGCTTCATCCTCCACAAGGCCTTGGTTATAGTCTCCTCGAAGATCAGGTTCGGCCAACGTATCACGTGCTCCACGCAGAATCTCCAACCGAGAAAAAAGTGCTTCTTGACTGAAACCTTCCTTTGGAGGATGTGCAAGTCGCGCTTCGTAGCATCGAACGATAGAATCGGCTAAAAAATGAGTTTCAGCTCCCAAGACCTGCAGTTCTCGAGTCAACCAGTGTTTTTTAAAAAACTTGTTGAGAATATGAAGGCCACGAAGAAAACGTGAACACAAACACCGATGGAAATTCGCATTGCTTTATTCGTCTTTTAGAAATGACTATTCTACTCGTTATCGTACATGAAGATGAATATTACTGAGGAGCCTCGTCAAGGCTATTGTGTGCTTAATTATACATATGACACTTTAGATTATGTGATAGATGAATCCACACCAAACAGGTAGAATCCGACTACACTAATATAACCTCCAAGTCCACTATTCTCTCGACACCCTATCAAACAGATGAAGCTCTGGAAACACGAAACTAAGGAGCAAAATCAACAACCTCCATGTATCGTAGAACGAAAAAACCATAAAATGCACACCTGATAGTAGTCAAGTGGCAGAGACAGGGCTTTCTCGGCCTTAGTAACAGAAGGAAAGGAAGAAGCCAATGCATTTGTCACAAAACCTCCCTTGCTGACCCCTGTCCATGTGCACCTGCCAGTCGAGAATGTGGGTGCAGAAAATTGAGCTGTTCGCTCAGAAGTCTTCCGTTCATATCTTCTTGTACCAAAAAACGCACTCTGGAGTTCAATGCAAGTTTTGAAAGCAACTTGCGACGCAAAAACCTGACGTCGGCACGATTCCGCACCACCTCGGGATACCACTACTTTAAAAGTACGAGAATTTGCACCACCTGAGCTACCTCTACGGAAGCACGAAAAACCATTACAGCGGCGGTCAAGAAAGCCAGGAACCCTGCTGTGCGACTCGAATGCCGATCCGAGCAGAGCAGTCTCCATTATATCCATTCCACCGCGCACTTCCCCGGGCGCCCTCTTCCTACTTTTCTTCCTTCCTTCCTTCCTTTGAACCGACACCCCGGATTCAAATTCTCATAAATTCAGCAGCCAAATCATAGAAGCATCAACCATTCCATCTCCCGCAGCACTGAAAATCTCCGCACGCCTCAAAACGACAACAACAAACTCCTCCGACAATTGCAACCTTTTTCCGCGGTCCCAAAAAACACCCAGCTGGTCAAAACCCTTCAAATGCAGGGCGCCGGGAAGAATATTCCGCAGCGCAACGAGCGATTTTCCTTCGTGCACTGAACACGAGATTGCCCACCGATCGGCGTCGCCCACTCCTGCGAAGACTACAATGGAACTCGCTCTGCAGTTCGACGAGAGCCTGACGCCGAACCTGGCGCCAGCCGACATGCGCTGCTCCGCTCCGTCGAAATCCGGGAGCGGAGGCCCGGCCGCTCCGTCTTTCTCTCTCCATCGACCCGTGAACATCCACCCGTTATTGGGGCACATCAGATAGGACTGCGCAACGTAATGGGGTCATGCAGTCACACTCCAAGCCTGTATAGTGTACAGTCATGCTGCATTAAGATGCAGGCAGCCATTTCTCTTTTCCAGTCCTTAGCTAGATTTATGTCGTTTTTTCTAAGGACAAACACTTTCGGTTAAATCTCCACGCAATTAATGCTCCCCACACTTGGCAACGGACTTAGTGATAACAAGAGTAGTAAGCTAACGAAGCAAGAAATATTAAGCAAAAATTATAGAAATAGCGCATTACATTCTCCGTGTGTAGATGAAAAACGTCTGGGCTCAATTATCATCCTCGAGAAAAACAAGCCATACTCCATCTAGGATTTATGAAGTTGGTTAGAACCGTATACTTATCACATGATCGTCTACATAATTTTCGATTATAGTTTATTCTCCTCACTGGGATTGCACGTAAAGTATTTTATATATAAAAGGGGATATTTATTAAAATTAAACGATTTTTTATGAAATGTATGTAATAAAACAATTAGCTGTCCCATATTCCCAGTATTCATGACGAGATGAGAATGTGTAAGAGCCAAGTATATAATATGTTCTTATACATTCGTACTTTAACATCTCAAGGCATTTTCCATATCTTCATATTAGTTCAATGATGAAGTACCAAAGAACTAATTTTTGCTTACCTCAATATCTTTGATTACGGATATCTTAATATAGTAAAAACAATCCTCATTGACCAGTAATTATTTTTATGTTTTTAAATTTTATGTTTAAAAACAATATCAAATTTAAAATATGTAATAGTATAATTAGCATTAACAACTCGATACTCTTGAAGTGTATCGTTTTCTCCAATTGAAGTTTGACTTCAAACCATACCAACAATAATTTCATAAAAACCATACATTTTCTTGTGGTTTGAGATACGTACAACATCCTTCATAACAACACGTGAAGCCAATCTTTCTTCAGTTAGTGATATGTATCTACGTTATATTCAAAGTAAACTAAAACAGAATTTATCAGGTGTTCATTATCAACATAACTTGCAATAAAATCTCAACACAAATGTGTTTCTAATGGCACATATCAGACATAAAAGTAATATAGAGTGAAAGTTAGATTATATCTACTAAAAAACTTTGTGTGATCTTATGCATGTAATATATACACGCTGAAATTTCATGATACAGATTTCAAATCAGTTCAGCAACTGTATTCTCATAAAAATATCAAATTTTCACATTACACAATTATTCAAACAAAGCACATTTGCTTCCAAAAATATAACATGTAGTGAAAAAATCTTTCAAGTCATTTGATATATTTGACTTAAAAAGTTTGCCGCATGATTTTCGAAGCGTAAAGCAATCAATGAATGATATATACCGACAGTACTCCTTTTACTTGTATATTAACCTTGAACATCCAGTACATCCTAATGATAATAAATGTTTATATATAAAAAGTTCACTGGAATGAACTTATTATTCAATTAAAAATGTCTATACATTATATGTAAAATTTTCAATTTTCTATCTGATCTCGAATTAAAATCACGTCCTTTTGCATGAAATGTGATCATATTACAATTGATGATAATATGGACAGAGACAATCAGATCTTGATGAAATAAAATGTCACAAAATTTTCTTATTATACCATAGTAGAATAACCAAGAATATATTTGATGAAAAAAACAGTAGACCTAATGTTTGGCTAGCAAAACAATGACGTTGCAATGATATATAGTTAAACGTCAATGTCATTCAAACATAATGACATTCTTTGAAATTATAGTGGATTTAAAAAACTTTATTGAGGTTCAAAATGTTGAATCATGTATTTAAACATAGAATAAATTTGAAAAAGAAATGCAGCATGAATAAAAAATTATTTTAAATACAAATGTTGCATAACATTGAAAACATATCAATTTAATAGAAAGTCAAAAAATCTATAAAGAGAAATACAATGTGATAGATAGTCTACTACAAATGAAAACATAAGGTATAATTCATCATTAGTCAACATGTAATTTTTCACTCAACAATTATATATTTACAATATTTCATATCACAAGTATCTGAATTTGTCAAAACATATGTGCTTGTAAATTTTTGTGTGATATTAAATGATATTATTACTTATTCATGATTCATGTAAATGTTTTAAACATATGAATACAAGATGTGAAATATGCATTCTTCAAATTCATTAAAAAAGATTAAATTTTAAAATTTCTTTATTTATCTTAAAAATATTTCTAATATTTCTATTAAACAAGAAAATTTGTTGTATGCAAGTTTGAAAGTAAGATTTTCTAATAATCAACTTACACTTTTAATCTTATATATTATACTTGATATTATTTCCTACTTATCAGTTTTTTAAATACAAAAACTTAATACTCAGTGCAATGCAAAGAAATTTCATCAATTATTTTTTCTATTGCTGAAATTTTTTTTAGTTTTTTTCAATATAATTTAATTAAAAAATTATATTTTTTCTCCACTATAAAATGTATTAAAAAATTATAAAAAATTAATCAATATATTTGATTTGATTTAGTTGAAACTAAAATTTTCGATTATTACAGTTATTATACTATATATAATCAAGTTCAATATTTTTCCTTATCAGATAATGGCAAATGTGTTTATTATTTAATCATTAGAAAATTAATAAAATTTATTTTATATGAAAAATAATTATAATCATTTTTGTAAGCTAAGGTCAGAATTTATTTGACTCAAATTTATCAAGCTCTTTATTCAAAAGTTCTGATAATCGAGATTTCAAGGTACTTTAAATAATATATTTTGTGTGTTGTGAAGATTTTTTTGATTTGTATTATATTTATATTCTGCAATAAATTCAATCTAATGAAATTTTATTCTTTAATCGTTTTTACTTATTTATTCAGTTACTAAAATTAAATATAAGAACATTTTTTTTCTCTATAAAATTATTTTTAACCTTTGAAATATTAGTAAATTAAAAAATATTATTAAAATTAACTATATTTAAAAGTAAATTTTTTGTTTTTTTTTCAATATTAATAATTGTTAAATTGATTTTCATCATAGTTGATATAATGAGTTTGTTCATAATAATAAAGTACTAAATTCAATCATTTACACCATTAACACATTCACAAAACATACATTACACAGAGAAATAGATTATATACATTTTGAAGCTATTACATAAAAACGTAAAATTGTTACAATAAAAATTGAGATTTTCATTATCGTGATCACAATTGATTATTATGTATTCTGAAAGATTAAAAATACTAACTAATCATAGTTTTTTCAATCAAATAAAACTAAGACATAGAGTGATTTTGAACAAGTTATTTTTTGAATGTTTTACTTGTTTATGCTACTATATGTTTTGTTGTTTCCTTCACAATCTACATATCATTACTAATTCTTGGTTTGTACATTTCAACCAAAAAAATCACACTCAACTTCTTCTTATTGCTTCGTAAAATTACTTGATGGTATCCTTGTGTAACACAAAACACATTCTTGGATCCAACACATATCTATTTACCCGAAGTAACCCCATCAACAACACATTGTCATTCATGTTTTAAACAAAATTCTTGTAACCATATAGTTGGCAACTATGGTGTGGAGGAGTAACTGCTCATATTGGATTATAGTTTGCAGTTATAGTGTGAGATGGAGGTAACCTCATATCGTCGTGTCATTCACGAAGTACAAAAATGATGTTTAGATTCACTCTCTAAATACTACATTTTTCTTGTCTTGCCGTCATTATTTTTTTTCTGGTACGTTTTTAATACTTTGCTCGTTGCTTCTTCATGACAATCAACGAGATTGAGAACAATTGTCAACATGGAAGTCTGATTCTCACTTCTTTCTTTCTTGACGAGTCTCATGAGATCCAAAGTTTTCACGGCGTGCAAAATCAATTTGCAATTCACTCGCACCATTCAAGGAAGAAACAGACAGAGGTGACACCAAATAAATAGGACTAAACTAACAAGCAGAAACAACGACAGCAACACAATTTGCTTTCTTCTGTAGTATGTAGTTCTTCCATTAAACTTTGTTTCAAATGGCAAGCACTTGCTACAAACATGAATGTTTCATTCTCATATTCTTCTTTCTACCAACTCCCTTTCTACTCACATTCTCTTGCCCCTTTTCACTTATATCACTTGTTGTCATCTCTTACTTATGTTTATGACTTCCAAAGTTTTTCGGGTCTTCTTCTCAGTCCTGCTTTGCTCTTGCTTGTTACTCCTTATTCCCTTAACATGCGTCTCTAAGTATGCCTCATTGTCTTACTTCTTAAAATCGCTTTCTATTTTAAAAATAATATGCTACCAGAACTTTGACCAATATTACATTATGGGTAGTGGTGTGACGTTGGTGGGATCCCAAGAATTGTTTTGTGTTACAAAAGTTTTATATCAAGTAATTTGCTCCCTTACTTCAGATCTTTCATCTCCTAGTTTTGTTTCAATATACTCTAACCATACCATTGAATAATTTTTTTTCACGGTCAAAGTCTTGATGATTTTCAAATTAACTTTATTAAATTTGAGATAAAAAAAATGTATATTTCAAAACACATTGTAGCATTGCATTTACTCTATATGTTAAAAAATGGAGGAATTCAGATTAAATTTATAATCTTTAGATTATATTTCAAACTCCAACACACACAATATTAAATTTTCAGTGTTAGCCGCTATAAAATTTCTACTCTTTGAGTATAATTTTTGTTAATACGTCAAATCAAAGTACAATCCAATTATGAAACTTCTATTTCAAAGTATTTACTTTTGCACATTTTTAGTATGTTCAACCCAAGATGCTATTTAATTGCATTGTTAAAAATCAAGATTATTTTAAAAATTCAATTAACTAAACAAGTTCCAAATTCATTGAAAGTTGATTGGTTTAAATTGAAGCAAAAGATCAGTGAAAATATTTTAATGTCAAGATTATGATGTCAGCAAAGTGAAAAAAAATTGCATCTAATTTTGCTAATTATGATCTAATACTCATTTTATAAACAGCCCAATTAGCTAGGTCTAGCTCTTATGCAAGATATTTAAAATTATGCATTATAGAAATTGAGTAAACAAGAGTTCAAAATTATAATGTCATTAAAAAACAAGGTTTCATTTAATTGAATCATTTTTTTGAATTAATGTGATCAATTATTTTGATCTTTTAGCATGAAACATGTTTTTGCTAAATTGTATGTAGATGTAATATTATTAATGATTCAGCATAGTAGTTTGCAATTCTAAATTTAATGATGTTGTAGTCAAATATTTGGCTACAAAGAGATGAAGTATGGTAAGTTTTCATGATTAATTTTTGATAATGTGATAAGCTCTTTAAATTTCTCAATCTTTCACTTGGTAGCAGATTAAAACATGAAACTTCTAATTTGACACCATCTAACGATTGTGAAAATAATTATTCAAACAATCAACATATTCACATAACAAATTGTTGACAACTAATTGATGTTACATTCATGGAAACACAATACTCTGTTGATTTTGTGCTTGAAAGATAGATAGAACATTTTTCATGTAATTGCACGCTAACTTGATTACATAATGATGATTAAGTATACCAAATTCTATCAAAATCTAAATTAACTCATAATAATTTTATTGTCAGGGTGTTTTTTTCATATAATCAAAATTTCCATGGTACTATTTCAGATCTCAAATCCAAAAATTAATACATCATTATATTAATCTTTCAGATTTATGTTGAAATTTTTTCTTTCATAAAACATTCACATCTAAATATTAAGATCAAATTTAAATTGTTGTTATTTCTTATAATAAAAGGAAAAAATTTTGACTTATATGTTTAAATTTGATGAATTGATATTTTTAAGATATAATCTGATACAATATTTTTTCAATTCTCATAAAGTAAATTATTATTTTTTCTGGTTTTGAATTACATTACTAATATTTATATCACTGGATTTTTTTATAATTTTTTTACTTAAAATAATAAGCGTTATTATTTAGAGTGTGTTGATTTCATCAACCATTATACATTTTTTGATATTAAAGTTATCCCTCAAGAGAAAATTTATTGACAAGTATGGATTGTTTGTGGTTAAATTTGGATCAAGCTTATAATGAGAAAAGTTAAAAAATGTAGATTGAAATTTGAGTATCCATGCTTGCTAGTGGAGTAGTTCTAGTTTGTGATGCCGAGTTTTTTGCAAGATATTCGTAGCATGATGTTGGTTTTCGAGCAGAAAACAAGAAATTGTGTTGAGGTTCAATAAGTCATTACTTTTTCCAGATGTTTTAATTGTCCCAAACTGCCTGGTTACATATTGTCACTGAGGTGTCACTTCACCCATTGAGTGTTTGAATAGGATGTCTGACTTCTGGATATGGAGGAGGACCTCTAGATTCAACCAGAAACTGAGAAAGTAATTTTTTGGCTTCGATTTCAACGATCATAACATCTTTAGCCATGTAAGCTCTGTTCATTCTAAATGTCCATGTGCATATAAGAGATCATCAGTGCTTCTATTCCTGTTATATTTTATTCTCTTGTTTCATTCGAATCCAGCAAGCATGACAAACATAAGTACGGTTTATCTCAAAAACAACATCACATCAATCTCTCCCACCACTTCTATGTTAGTACGTGTCTGGTGTTTTCCATCTGCATTAGCTTCAATAAGACAGTAACACTGACATATCGATCCTGAATAACTTGACTCAAGGGCAGAAACATACACATACTCAGCAATGTCGATTCAGCACCTCTACCATTCAAGTACTATCATGTCATACGACTGAAGTGTAATCAGCCATGCCTGTTAAGAGTCAGCTGATAAATATCATTCAACTTTAAAGCATGGGAAGGCAATGTGCAAGTGAGACTGGACAATGTCTTGTTCGGCCCCAAACCTACTTCAAGGAACGTTCATATTATAAACGATGGTGCGAAGCCATATCATTTACTTCTGAGCTCCACACAATGGACCTGTTATGATACACGGTTGCAAGCACCAAGATCGAATGCTAATGAGAATGTACCTTCCCTTGCCATCTCCAGGGCTGTGGTTTATGTGCCCTTGTTGTCCGACAAACTGGAACAACAGGGTACATTCTCTGCAGAGTTGTTGGTACCGCTCTATTATGTAACTATATTCTATCCTACCTCTTTACTAAACAAGTTTGTGATTCTACGAATCGGAGGCCTCCCAGGGCATAAGAGGAATCATATGATATCAGTGTTTTGATGATAGAAATCACTTCTAATCAGACTCATCATATTTTCCCCGACTTAATTCAAGAGGATGCCATGTAGCTGAGTGGTATCATCTCAAAGCGGTTTGAAGAGCCGTTTCCACACCCCGTTCTGAGGAGGAATCATGTAAATTCTTCGAGCACGGCTTGCTCGTATTCGGGCCTGTCTGATCACTCAGCGTAAAGTCCTTTCTGCTGGAATTGGTATATGCAACAGCCGCGGTCATCCGTGCTGCCATATAACCTATGCTCACGGTTACAAGTCCGACTCTGCCACAGCTACCCAAAATCGAGGCCATCGCAATCGGCACAAGTTCAGAATCTGAGATCGCAACGGAAGGAAAAATGGTTCAGTGGGTCTCGACGCGTGAGAAGTATCGACGATTGCAGGAGATCTGCACAGAAACAAGGACAAAGAGTTCAAACACAAGTTCTCTAAAGGACACAGACTCTGGCTTTTTCCTAGAAACACCCTCCCAACATGACAGAGAAAATCTGATACCCGTCATCTGCAACTCTATCACCTTCACGTTTAGCAGAAGAGATTATCAAAATTTCGATCCCAATTTGATGCTGGATCGAGAGAAATTACCCTGCGCAGCTTTGAATCTTCAAAATGAAATACCGGTACTCGCAAGAAGCAACACGCAAGCAGCAAGGCTCGTTCGTGCAGACGACTGGTGCTGAACTGGGGGCTTCGGGGCGCGGCGATCTGGAGGGTGAGCGAATGTTCAGACAAACTTCTGCTCGTGGCGATAGTGAGCCGCTGCACGAAAAGCTCGATCGATTGCAAGCGACGTCAGGGTTTTCCGGCTGCTCTTCTATCGGCGAATCCGGTTGCTTCCGAGACGGAACAAGACTCCACGTTGTAGTCTCTGATTAGGTTGAGGACCGGGGAAAAGATCTGTAGATGCTTCCGGCATCTTTCGAGCTAGAATTGGCTGAATATGCGAAGTGGATCAGGCACGTGCCTGAAAGTGAAGATATCTGCATGGCTACCCATGTCTAAGAAGAACACCACTTATCTACATCCACTTGATTTGGAAATTCACAATCTATTATTTCAATATCTCGGGTGCATTATGCTTTTTTAGACTTTATTTTTACTTTCGGAGTCTTGATTATACATCTAAACCGTACTTAATTTCTGGTTTTCTTGATTGATTCGGAGATCAGATTTAACAATTTTCTTAAAATGTCTGTTGTTACTAGAAAACTCAATTCTTGAAGTTTGAAGTCTTGATGATGTGGTATCTTGGTACATTTAGATCTCATATCCAACTTCAAGAGATGTGCTTTACAATGATATACTACTATTTCAATTTGGATATGATAATTTGTTTTACATCTAATTTGAGATAGAAACTATGAATTTGATCATTATCTTAGACTATGCTCTTCTATTTGTAGATTGTGATATGACATTTTAGTTGTACTCTTCATTAATCTGATTTGTCAACCCATCTGTGATATTGCACTTGACTTTTTTGGATATATTCTCAATCATATGCATTATTCTTGATATCTTTATAAAAAATGAAGATTAAAATTTTGAACATCTTGTTAATTTTTATCATTATTGAGTAATTTATCACATATTTTGAATAGTTGAAAATTACGAGTAGATTTTGAAACTTAGACATGGTAAGGTTTTTGTCATATTTCTAAGTATAACATGATGTTGCATAAAATCACGTTCATAGATCAAAATTTATAGCAGATATTGAAACTTTTTGATATTATTTGAATATATATTTGCTCTTATGTTTGTACAAATACACATCAATAACTAATTTGGATATAAAAACCTTTCTACCAAAATATAACAAAATTTCACAAGGTTTATTATTATTTGACATGCTTTCAACTTGAATAATTGTTGTTATTTGCCAAAAGAACATCCAAGTTTTTTGCCGAATTTTTTTCATTTAATTTAAAGTTTGATATTTATTACAATTTCTGTTAGAATCGTTTCTAAAGAAAAAAAACAGAACTAGATTTTTAAAAATATCATACAAATTGCAATTTACATGAGATGATGCTTCATTTTCTTCTATAAAAGTATCATGTTGTATTCCATGATATATTATGATACAAAATTCTAAACTGTACAATGTAAAATTTCAAACTAGTTTAGTTGATGAAGTTGTCTTACTATACAGATCATTAAAGTGTTATGTTTTTGATGTGATATTTTTTTTGAAAGTTTATGTTGCATGTTGAGAAGCTGAGATCTTGATTGAAAAGAAAATTTGTTTATAAAATGAGATGATGGCTTCAATATATAAATTGTTAATTCCTAGAACTAGAAAAAATTTAATGATCAGAAATTAAATTCATTTGATGAAATATAAATGAATGATGAATGACATAAGCTTGAGCTGCAAAATTATTGACATAATATTTATCTATCAATTATTTACATTGGAAGCAAAATGAATCATCAATGATGTTTTGTTGAGTTTTCTTCCAAGAAACAAAAGATGTTACTAATTTTTGTGTGGTGTGAAATATAATATTTTGACATAATAAAAAATGCAACATATTGGTGAAACTTTAATCTTTTCATTGTAAATTATTTAAAAAAAAATCCTTGAATTTGAATACAATTGTTTTTTTTTTCAGATCTAAACGTAAACTGTTTTTAGTATTAGTGCAGTGATTGATAACTTATTGCATGAGTATTTAAATTAAGATTTGACAATTTTTTTAGTCATAAGTAATATGATATATGCAAACTCTTAAGAAATTGTTAAAAAATTCACGAATTTCTAGGTTTAATTTTCAAGTGCATTAAATTCAACATATTATGTTCATGCAAGAGAAATTTTATATGAAAATTAGTATAATTCATAATAAAATGTAATGCAAAGACTAATCTTTAAATTTTTATAAAATTTTTAAGCTATATTGTATTATTTTAAATTTTTTCATTTGTTAGAAGAGATATTTTTAAGACTTGAAGTTGAAAGTATTTTGTTGAATTTTTAATTTAACATAACTAGATCTTGGTAATAAAATGATGGATTTTGAACACAATTTTTAGATGCTTATTGATCATTTCACATTTTTGATATTTTTGTTTCTTGATTTTACTCCTAAAGAGATGTTGTTGATGATTGAATGTTGAAGTTCATTATTGCATGTTGTGAATTGAGAAGTATGAAAACGGTTGAACTTGTATTTATTTCTTGAGAATGTAATGAAATTTGCTAAATATATTAGAGAATGATGGATAATATTGTATGCATAACAAATTTTCTTATCTCACAAGATTTCAAACTTTGAACTTTGACATATATTGTAAACTGAACCGTATTCCATCGACACATGTGTTCAATAACATGAAGTCTTTTGTAAAGCTGCCGTAACTTGGGCTCATCATGCTATACTCGCAGATTTTTTTTTTTCAAAACGACTATTACAACGCGCACAACAGGTATGGCCTTTGGGTCACTGATGAACTAAGTGGACAGGAGGTGCTTACCTTATAAATGTGATATTGGATGGGCAGAGGTACAAGCCTGAATCAAAAGTATAGGTCAGTTTTTTTCTCAAAGATAAAAATCTCACATTCCGGACTTGAGGAAGGCTGCCAAGATAACCTAAAGATTATGGGTACAACAATTGAAACCAATATGTTCATCATATTGGCAGATTTATTGCTTGATGTTTGAATAGAGTAAATGTTTTTATAGAGAAAATGATCTTGTTTGAGAAGAAAATATCTATTTTCCTCTCAAACAACTCGCAAGAGCGAGCTCATCTATAACAAAGGTATGTGAGTAATCTTATATCTAATTCACTCAAACAATATCGGGACTAAATATTTTAGGTAATACACCACCCATATCTATTTTCCCGCACATCGAAGTAGCACAACAAACTTCTCTGACCAACCAACCCAAGATATAATTGTTCGAACATCTTGCAAATAAGTTCCTTACTACATGGTGGGTTATATCACTTATATTTTTCTGCCGATAACTTTTCCTATACTTTTGTCAACAACCATGGAGTAGACTAGTTCCATAGGCATCTTTGAGAAATTTAGTGAAATCCTTAATGCTACATACAATACTATTATGCTATTGTAAATGATTCTAATGCTTTAAAGCACACAAAATCCATGGACAGAAAATCTAAAGCTACACCTCATGAAGACATGTTAATTAGTAAATAGTAGTTGGATTATTGTGCATTTCTAAAAATTGATAAATATTTGACAATTATTTAAGGTGTAGTTCAACGACAGGTTATTCACTTCTACTACTAATGCACTTGTTGACAACAGTGGTGAAGGATTTTGACCGAAGGTGGTATTATTGGAAACATGATCTGTGCACTTCATTCTTAGCACTATACGTGCAAAGTGGATTGGAGTGATACAATCTAACTTGCAGAAGTGGAGATGGCAAATCCGGACAACAAGCAAGAGTGTGGAGGGAGTACGAGGAAAGATCTTGCTAAGGTTGCCTTCCGGTTCATATACAGATCACTGTTTGTTCTTTCGAGTGCAGTATTTGGTCACTACAGTTGATAGCTATGATAATTTGATTGGACAAGAGACATTTCTTCAGCCAGGTATTTCAATCGCTCATTGGTTTGTACATGCTTACTTCCTCGTACACAGGAAGCATGATGGTTTGCAACTAAGATATATATCTCTCTGGATCTTCATGGTACAATTTCACCAACAACCCATCATTGTATCCATGAAGATGCTAATTTTGTCTCCTACATCCTTCATTGTTGGCATCCAAAAATTTTAGTTTTAGCTTGTGCAAGGCGAACTCTCTTCCCTCGTGTCCAGCAGTTAGCTGGTCCCTCAAAATCCCTTATGCAATGTAAATACAATAAATTCTGAATTATCAAAATCGCAGGACCAAACCAACAGATGTTCACAAAGTCTTGCATGCCGAAGGAGCAGAGATAAAGCCAGATAGGGCTGTAAAGCAGAATACGCGCAGAATATGAAAACTCCGAAAAAAAAAAAGTTTGTTTCCTCTTCAGACGATTCGTTGTTAGCCGCGACAGCAGAAATCCGATGACCCATGCACATCTTCCAAGACGACCTATCGTTTGACATAAAATTCCGCCTACTGCCAACAAAGCCTCACTATACTCCGTAACCCGGCTAAAAGTGACAAAGTCTGCTGTCAAGTGAACACTGCTGCAGCAAACATTCAAAGGCCTGCTGTAATCCACAACCATTTACAACGTGTCATTAGCTGTTTGATCAAAGTAAACGATCTTGTCAATTGCTCAAGAGGAGTAGTGCCGACATGAATCTGGTTGTATCTTGTCCTGTCTGGAGGTGTCTCTCGATTTCAGTACTGCTAACATCTGGCTACATGAACTATTTCCACACTGCAAAGTGGATGACTGTTGTTGGAATTCATCAGACATAGCTAGCTGTAAGTGCTGGATACTCGGGAGAATGAACAGACAGGCATGTTATTCTTTAAGCAGGTATATCCAGCACAATGTGATAAATGCAGGATTCACCAAAAACAGACAAATTTTTTAGTCTGTTTGATCATCTAACGGAAGTACAAGAGCGCCTACAATCTTTGTCGATGATAGGGCAAATATCTTTGCATCTCACACTTTCTGTTTGCAGCTGAGATAGCATGAGGTATCAAAAGTTTCCCTCGATACAGCGGGACAAAACTACAGTGACAGATTTTGATTCGTACCTTTTCATTTTCAAAATGAATCTTGTAAGCAAGGGCCGTGATGATTCATAACAGGTGAAAACAATTAATTAAAGGCAACAGAGCCTTGAACTTTCAACTCGCAGCACGCAACATCTGTCATGAATCAAACAGTACATGGTATGCTATTTGTAATTG